CTTTCTATGTATTTGGTTTTCTGTTCGCTTAGTCAATTCAATATTTTTAGGATTAAGATTAGCTATCAAAATTGGTTTTTTTTTAATAGTGATTTTGTTTCTTATCTCAGTCGGAGCACAAATTGTTTATTTGATTGGATTTGAACTAGTTCTGCGAGATTCGTCTGCTTGGAGATTGTTTAACGAAGTTTGAACTATTTTAGCAAACAGATGGGATCAGACCGTTTACGATGCCTCTGATGAAGCTTGCTTGCACTGCACTGGAAAGAGTTCCTCTCACGAGGCCCAAGATTATAGAGAATTTGATGAGGAAATTTAACCTAGATTTAGTCTTCTGTCGCGCCCCGGAGGACAATGTTTTGACAAGTGGTGTTTATGGTACGTTGTTTCTTAAACGTGTCCGCTTTATTGCTTAAGTCCATTTTCTCAGCTTGGAACTTTAGGAAAAAGTTTAAATTGTATTTAGTTACTGATTTTTAAATAGAATCTAACAATAATTTGGATGGGTTTCAGAAGTTGGCATTTTTGTTGGTTGAACTTTAGTATGATTATTTAGTATTGAAAACGAATTGGCAAGTATTTGCTCTCAGTAAGTGTTCTAATCAAAATGGGTTGATATGGATATTGCTTCCTCGGAGAAGTCTGATCTTAAGATGGATTTTTGTTTTGGTTTTTAACTTCCATGAAAGCATCTTACTATTGTTAACTCATGGTATCTTTAAAACTTTTGTAGAAAGGCAAGTGGAGAAACTTGATCCCGTACTTGATTGGCTGGAGTCAGAATTTGGCTTTAAGCCTGTTGTGTACTCGAGTTTTTCCGGTGGAAAGCAGGAGGATGGTCTTGTAAAGGCCATAGAAGATCTGCTGAAGAAAACAAATGACTGTGAATTGGCAGCAATTGATGCTATTGCAGCAGCAGCTCATTCTCTAGTAATAGCGGTTGGAATGTTTCGTGGGAAGTTGCAGATTGAGGAAGCAATTGAATTAATTAGACTTGAAGAAGATCTACAGGTTCGTTCTCTCACTTGTGTTTCTAGCCTTTTCCTTTATCATACACTCATACTTTGTATATATACACATACTTTTGACTGTACCAGTCTCCAAATTTCTCAAATCTTCTGGACGATCCCATATAGTGGGATCAACACGGGGTAACGGCATAATTTAACCGGGGACTGACTTATTTGTTTACCTTTTTGCAGGTGGATAAGTGGGGTCTTGTTGAAGGTGGTCATGATGTGGATATTGCTGATCTTAGGGTTCAAATATCATCACCTGCTGTATTTCTTGGTCTTTCAAAGAGGTTATGATCTCTGTATATTTGCATTTTTTTCCGCCTGTTCACTTTGTACTTTTTTTTTGCTTTAATTTCTTATCCTAAGAGCTAGCTTCATATCTTTGAACTTGCTATAGATCTGCAAAACTCTTTGGCCATAGCTGTGAAATTTTATGGGAATTTGTTGTTATAGATCAGATGGCACTGATCACCTGATCAAATAATCAATCTTGAGTTGAGAGAACTGAGATTTTGCTATTTTGTTCTAAAAATCAATCAGATGATATTGATTTTGTCTATGGACGCAATATTTGGGTTCGATATAACCTATTTCATGCTGCGTTTTTATGCTTGTTTTTTCTTTTCGTCCTTCAATGGTTTTATTATCGAACTGCATCCTTCTATGTGGATTTGATGATTTATCATTCAGGGCTTTTCCTAGGCTTCGTTCACAAATACAATTGTTCAGGGGAAAGGAAATCCAAATGACATTAGGACATGATATGAACAAATACAATAGTTGAATACTTTGAACGAAAACGTCTAAACTTGAACAACTAATTTTCTGGACTGTAGTAACTAATGACGGTTGAACAAGTTGTCCAAGTGACTTCAAATCCATTTGAAGTGCTAGCTGCGTTTCTTGTACAACATTGGTCTTTTACCTACACGCAGAACAGATTTCATTCATCACGAGACAAGTTTTCCTGAAAATGTCTGGCCAGAAAATTGCCACGAGAAGTGCATATTCTCGACACATGAGTAGGGAAGATGATGTGATTAGTTGCATTCATGAGTTTGGATAATCTAAAGGAAATTTCTATAAAATTGCACGTGATTATGACTGTAGTTGTAAAGCATGTAATCAAACATACCTTCAAGTCAAGGCTCGTCCAGACAGCATTGCACACAAAGCGGTGGCTGTTTCTTAATGTCGCAATTGCAGCAAGCTGTGTCGCACTCATTGTTGCACCCTACAGATGACGCCTCAGTATTATGATTAATAATCCAAAACTAACAAGCTGAAGGCTCATGCATGTTTCTTACATCAACGAGGCATAGGCCGTTCTTTCGATATAATATAATAATGTAAATGTATTGTGTCTTTTTCTATAGATTTAAATTTATCAACCTGTTACAGTGACATAATCAAATGGTTCAAGGTCTTGTTGGATAAAGGAAACGCGACTGGTTGCTTGAACATTGGTCCGACCAACAATGACCATGAAAACCAGAAAACCAACTGATGCCAACAACCTCATCTTGCTGCTGGGTTTTAGCTTTGCTCCTTGTTTGCAAATTTTCTCACTAACAGCTGTTTTCATATGCAGGCTTTGTAGTAGTTGAAGTTTAGGAAATGAAACAACCTAACCCATTTTGGTATTCACAACGTAAACTTCTTTTTAAATAATGGATTTAAGAAAGGATAATTTTTAAACTCTGAATGCAAAGGTATCTATGGAGCAATCATCAGGAATCAATGACAGTTTATATATTGGCGAGTAGATGGGCATGCAAAGAGCTGATGGATCCATCCATAGAATCTTTCATTTATTTCTTCTACTTGCGCTCTAAAGAAATATTACCAAGGAATCGTCAGTGAATTGATAATTGATTCATGTGGGTGGTATGAACTCAGGAGAGTACTAGGTGACCGATGAGGAATTATCATTTAGCAATTGTTATACCTCCAAAACGGTCAAGTTGTACTATATATCTCATGGGGTTTCTTCAAAGTTCGACACGATTTATCAAAATTTTTGGAAAATCGAACACTCTATGGCGTATAGAGAAGAACTACAAGTTGATCACGTACCAAGAAAAAATGAGGCCTTATCTCTATCAGCGCTTATTAAAAACACAAGAAAACATGCTTCATCACAGTTCCACAAAAAGGATGGAAAGTACAATCGCTGCTTGTATTATTAGCTCAAACACAGTCGATACTCGAAAATTCCCCAGAAAAATATCACAGCTTAACCAATAAATTCGCAAATTACCAAGCTTCACAAGTATTCAACTTAGTGGCCCTTAGATGGCTGAAGCTTCTTAATGTTCTGAATCTGCCTTCCAGGGTTCAAGCCCTTTGGGCATGCACTTGCACAGTTCAATATGGTATGGCAACGGTAGAGCTTGAACTCATCATTGATCGATTCCAATCGCTCCTCTGTATATTCATCACGACTGTCCATAATCCACCTGCATTCACGACCACAGATTGGATGCCACATTCAATTTTATCCATAGTTTGCAAGGGATATTGAAAAAGGTACGATAATAATAAAAAGAAAATTGCTTTGTCAATTATGGGAGGACAAAGATGATTTGGAGTTCACAGGTCATGCAACAGCAATGGGAATTTGCACTGAATTTATGCACACTACCAATTTTCTGAGGCTCAAACCTTGATCGTTAAAACGAAATGCACCAGACCTATGAAAGCTTATATGAAGCTGACAATGTAGGTGAAATAGTAGTGACACCAACTACTGGTTATCCAAGTCATTTCCAAGAAATGTTGAGGAAAAAACAACGTATAGAAAACTTCCTAAATATTGTTTTATCTTTCGAAGGCGAACTTTGTTAGGCACACACTTGAGTATATCTTAATATTCATGGCTAAGAATAAGCCATGAAATTATTTGGCATATTGCTTGAAATTTTCTTAGCTGGTTTCTACCTAAGCAAAGACTTAAATAAAACTAGAGGAATCCTGTCCTACCAAAACGAAAGAACTCATTCTCAAAAAGAGGAATAGACACTGGACTCGCATAATAAGCTTAAAAAATCAAATAACTTTTTGCCATTTCAGGGTCTTAAGAAGAGATTGTAGAATGAATATAAGATCCTGAAAGGTTAACGATGCGAGTACAGTTGGATGGATAAGAGATATACAAAGACACCAAACATATGGCAATAAAGCAGAACCAATCTTGTAATAAGTTAACGCTTGTTCCATCAGTGGAGGAAAAATAACTCCAAAGAAAGTTAACCAGGTTACAGATCACCTAATGAACCAGCATGGATCGAAGTAACTTAAAAACCAGTTTTCAGCACAAATTTCCATTTCCATTTATCTAAGCATACAACAAAATGCTAAAGATTAAAATTTTAACTTTTGAGATGAATCAAAAAACGAACTTTCCAATTTCCCGCACAAAGTAACACCATGTATTTGTATATAAATCCAAATATGAATGACAATGGTGAGAATATATAAAAAAGAAAAGGACATTACCGATTGGCATGGAGCAAAGCAGCGGGTCCCAAATAGGACTCAGGATTCCACCAGTAGCTTGGGCAGGATGTGCTGCAGCAGGCGCAGAGGATGCACTCGTACATCCCATCGAGCTTGGCCCTATCCTTCTTGCTCTGCAGAACCTCCTTCCCCGGCACCGACGGCGGGCTCTTCCTTTTCAGCCACGGCTCTATGCTCTTATACTGGTTATAGAAATTGGTCATGTCCACCACCAAATCCTTGATCACGTACATGTGCGGCAACGGCGTGATCATCGTGGACGATCCCGAGGGAATCTTCGTCAGGCACGCAAGGCCGTTACAGCCGTCGATGTTCATCGCGCAGGACCCGCAGATCCCTTCCCTACAAGAGCGCCGGAACGTGAGCGTCGGATCGATCTCGTTCTTGATCTTGATCAGAGCGTCGAGGACCATGGGTCCACACTCTTTGAGGTCTATCTGGTAGTTCTGAAGCTCCGGCTTCCCCGATTTGTCGGGGTTCCATCGGTAGATTGAGAAGGTCTTGAGGTTCGTGCTCCCTTGGGCCTTGGGCTCCACTTGCTGAGCCTCCGCTTCTGAAGCCAAGAATCGCAAAGGAACGAACTTCGATGCCTGCGTGGACGAAACCCTAGAAATGGCTCTTCTCAATATGCCGGTCGCCATTGCCGAAACCTTCAGAGCAAGAGAGAGAAAGTGATGGAGAGAGAAAGTGCAGGACAGCCAAACTTCGCTTTAATAAAATGACGAAAATGGCTAATATATAGGGAGTAGTTTTAGTATGACGTTGAAGGGTAATTTGGTAATAAACGAAATATCTAAATGGCTTTTTTTATCGTTGTTCTTACTTCTTAATTTCATTGAGGAATTATCTAGTGCCGTGGATTGGTTGAACTCCCTGGTGTTTTCTGATGACGTGGCGAATTTAAAGCCGTTAGTTAAAGATGATACGTGGTTTGTTTGCAGAAGAGTTTTCGCAAATTTGTCTTGTGAGATAGTGGGGACGAAAGGGCGCGTGTCTCCCATGAGGCCCATAATATCTCATCTATTATTCGAAACAATGTCGTTTTTATCATGATGTCGTTTTTTGTAATTTTTGCCCTTTTATGTGTCGTTTTCCTTTTTATGGTAATTTTGTAGCGTTATTTTGTCGTCGTCGTCGTTATATTAAGGTTTCCTTCTCTGATTATCATTATTTTCAAGTTGCCGCAGTAGTTTTTTTTTTTTTTTCTCTCGGTTCAAAAACTATGCTGCAATTTTTTGTTTCGATATTGTTTTGTTGTTTCTTTGGTCTATGCGCTGTTGTCCCCCTGGATCATCCTGTGGTAGAAGTTTTCAAATGTTATTGTCGTTTCTTAGGTTTAATATCATTTCCTCGTCTTGAGTTCTATATTGTCGTTTCAATGAGGTTGTCGTTTAAAAAATTAGAATGTCGTTTTCATCATGTTGCCGTTTTATCTTTTGTCATAATTTTCCCCGCATTATGTTTTATGTCGTTTGAAAATTTTAAATGTCGTTTACAGTATTGTCGTGTGCCTTATTCTGTCTTTTTTATTATTTTTTTCCCCTTTTCTTTTGTCATCAAACTACCATCGCACCATTTTCAAATTTCTTTGTTTTTAGGGTGGCCGTTTTCGCTTGTCTGTATTAGGGCTGGCAATCCGGGTAGCGACACGACGACACGACTCGAAACCCGCACGAAATTAGTGGGTTTGAGTTTATCATAAATAGGTACGGGTCAGGTCGAACCTGTGAAACACGATTAAATAACGTGTCATTTTCAGGTTGACCCACCAACCCGCAATTGACCCACCATAACCCGTTTATTAAACGTGTCATATTTGGGTAACACGAATACACAACCCATTTATTACCCATATTATAAACATGTTAAAAAATAGGTTCAGAAATAGGTTAACACGACCCATTTATCACCTATTTTATAAACATGTTCATAAATAGGTTAACACGACCCATTTATCACCCATTTTATAAACGGGTTGACAAGTAATCAATGGGTTGACACGACACGTTTATGACCTGTTTAATAAACAGGTTATTCGTGTCGTGTCGTGTCAACCCGCCAATAAACGGGTCGTGTTTGGGTTTTGTATTTCGACACGATTAATAATTGGGTCGTGTTTGTGTCAGACCTATTCGTGTCAACTGAATAGGTCAATACGATACGAACACGACCCGCCAACCCGAATTGCCACCCCTAGTCTGTAATACAATTTTATTGATCTTTCTCATTTTGACACTGTTCTTTTTTTGTCTTATCGTTTGCATGGTTTTATCATTTCTCGATCTTTCTATTATTTTTTGATATTTTTTGACGTTTTCATTATCATGGCATATTCATCTTGTTGTTGCACCATGGTCAAGATTTCCGACCATTCCCCTAAATCAAGACGTCGAGAATTACAAAAGTCAGAATTGAGCTTAGCTGTTGAGAAATACCAGTTAAAGAAAAGATACTTGGGTTGAGGAATTCCAATGCAGCTTTGTGATTATAATCGATGGTTACGTAGAGAAGTCAACAAGTCCAGGATAAAACTGAGATTAACAAAAGTCTGCCGAATCAAGAGAGGATAACTCATGTCCCATATTCAAATTCAAATAGAAGATTAGATATGGGTTATCATCTACAATCATGTATTTAAATTCAAATAATTAAATATGTAGATAGATAAAAAATTTATCTCATAATGTAATTTAAAGATAGAGACATAATGTACAAGAGAACATATAAATAAAGGTTAAGCTCCTAATTTAGTTTCTACGAATAATTTTCTACTCTGAGGGAAGATCTGTACACTTTGAGATTTTGTGCATCCACAAGGGAATGTAGACAATAATATTTTATCGAACCACTATAAATTTTCATATTTTATTTTATTTTCTGCATCTATTTTTTAATCAATTCATGAATATCATTACGTGAATGTTCCCGAAGAGCTTAAATTTTGAATTGATGAATTTTTACCGTCAACACTTATCTTTTCAAAATTATGTCGTCCGTTTTTTTTTTTAAGGGATTTTTTTTAAGCTGTGTTATAATGTTAAAGTCGTTTTTTAATTGTATTTGTTCTTAGTCCTTTCAAGTGGTGTCGACGTTTTTTAAAGTCTTGTGTAGCTCTTTATTTTTCGTTGTTTTAGTTCTGATACGTTTAAGAATGCCGTCCGTTTGACATCACGTACGAAGTTGTCGTTTTCCCGATTAGATGTCGTTTTTCTGGATTTGCGTATTGCTTTGGTTTTTGCATGTTTCTTTCATATTGCCAAAGAAAACAATAATATTTCAGTTGTAGCACCATATATTCAAATGATAATAAAGGAAATCTAGCTGTTGAAATGGATTTGTGACGCAGAAATATGGTCGTCAATTTGGAGATAGGAAAAGAAATACTAATCATTGGCATAATATGTTTGATTAGCAAAAAAAGAAAAAAAATCATTGACATAATATATATATATATATATATGTATATAGAGAGAGAGAGAGTAATCAATAATAAGAAAACAACTTATTTGGTTTCACGAACTGAATTGAAAATTAAGGAAACCAAGGGAGGACAGTTTGTATCAGTATAACCAATAGGAAACAAGTTATATTTTGGCGAAAAGGAACGGGAAATGTCACAACGTTACGGTTGTGTTTGAGAATATTGAAATATGGATAATTTTGGATTAGATTAATCGGCGGAAGAATTGTTATGAAATTCGTTATAGGTTACAGATATTTTAAGTAATAAAGGTCCACAATTTCCTTACGAAATTAAATGATCACCGCAAATAAAATAAATTAATTAAAATTTCAACCATAAAAATGTCAATTATCATTAATTGCTCCCTCAAAAAAAGAATCATTAATTGCTTATCGATCAATTAGTTACTATTTAGATACCATAATGTGTCATTTTGATGTGCATGCATGATGAATATGAAATAATTGTCTATCAATAAATAAAAGAAAACCAAAAGGGCCACCTAATAAAAAGCTGGACAGACCACCTAAAAGACCAATCACCAATTGTTTATAGCCACCACCATTGTTCCTTAATACTCGCTCAAATTTCTCCTCTTTCTCATCATTCTCTCTCTCTCTCTCTCTCTCTCTCTCTCTCTCTCTCTCTCATCTGTATCCCTTTATTTCTCGAAATCTCACATTTTTCTACCAGGAATCCCCTGCGACATTCTCCAATGGCATCGGTAAGATTTCTATATTACATATGGAAGAAACTTATCATCTTGTCTTTGGTCTGCAAAGTTCATTAGATGCCATGTTCTTGAATGTTCAATGTGTGTACATTAAAATATATAATTGTGCATGTCTATGACAATTTATGTTCTATGTATTATGTAATTTCATTTGGTTTGATTTTTTATTCTTGTAATTTCCTCCCCTAAAAGGAGTTAAATTAATTTTTTAGTATATATTTTTAATTGCTATGATACAAGAAATATTAATTCATTGTGGCTGTCTTTCTTTTAAGCCATGAATGTATTCTTAATTCTTCAATAATTTTGCTGCTCAATCACTCATTTATTATCAGCCTCCAAATCCCAAACCCTACTAAAATTTAATAAATAAAAAAATGCTACTTATCTTTATTCATTCTCTCATGTACGCATTTTCAAAACCAAACTTACAATATATAACAAACTATCCTTTCTTGATCTAAACTTGTAAATACTTGTGTAAATTTAGAATATGTAGCAATTCCTTTTCTTACTGTTGTGAAATATTAGACTTGGATGATTGATTTGGAAGATTCTTTGGGGCTTGTAAATAAGACAATGCTAAAACTTTTTCTTCTTCTTCTTTTTTGTTTTTTGTTTTTTTGTTTTTGTTTTTTGTTTTGATAATCTGTGTTCTGCAGCAGGACAAAGGTCGGCCGTTGCCGAAATTCGGAGAGTGGGATGTGAACAATCCTGCTTCTGCAGAAGGATTTACAGTCATATTTAGCAAAGCTAGAGATGAGAAGAAATCCAATGGTGTCGTTTCGTCTAGTGGGGCAACAACAACGACACAAAAGAATGATAATTCAGCTAAACCTTCAGAGAATTGTGATTATCCCCCCATGGTAACATAAATCACATTATATTTACACAATTTATATTAAAAATTCTTCACACAAAACATGTTCAGAATTCAAATCGTTATAACCTACTTTTCTCTTTGGATATTGCAGAAAAAATGGTTTTGCTGTTTTTGAAGCCAAAGGTCAAGGTGAAGCTATTGAAAGAAGGGAATTTATGGCGGTTACTTTTATATATGTAATTTCCAAGTCCTTCTCATGTTCCTTAAGGGGTTTTTTTTTTTTTTTTTTTTTTTTTTTTTTCCTTTCCCTATGAATGTAATTTAGGAAGAAAAATGTGACAAACGCATGAAAGTACATTGTCATAAATTATTCTCAAATTGCAATAAGCATATATAGAACATGAAAGTGCAATACATTCAATAACATATATAAATGGGGACACCTGGTGACAAATAGATACAATATTATAAGCCATATAAACACAAATATACTCTTTACGAAATCATAAACATAAGCTAAAACAAAGTCCTAACAACTTTTCTAGTTCAAACTATCTAGTCACGAACTAAATTATCTAAACTACACGACAACAGAAGCAACAAACGACAAAACAAAGAGCGAAACGATGACGAGTTTGGAGGCACCAACAAGTGATGAAGCAGACGATTTGCCACCGTCGGATTGAGACTGATCCCCGGGAGTCTTGACCTTGATAATGAGGTGTTGGCCCCTCTCGCAGTGACCAGAAACACCACTGATGAAGTAGAATGGACCGTAGTGGTCAAGCTTGAAAACGGTGTTTCCTGTGTTGGAGAAGAAGTTTGGCCGACTTGAATTGCACTTTTTGTAATCTTCCTGTGACACCTCCATAACCGAGTCTTTGCTGTACTTAAAACCTTCAAAACAAAACAAAAGGTAATAAAATAATTTTTTTTTTTTTTTAAATATAAGATTGACAAACGTCATGTTCGACGTGACCTAGTAATTTCATACTTAACTCTGCTATAAGGTATAGAATTTAAATCCTCGATTTCGAGTTATTAAAAAAGGTCATGACACATGATGATATATGTATATATAATATTATATCTATGACTATATTAATAATGTGGGTTTTTACTTACGAATGGTGTCGCCGAGTTGGAACCTGTTTTTAGAGGCCCAATCGTTGTAGATTTTGCTGTCGTTTGATGGTGGGACGACCCATCCTTTGGGTCCGCCAACTTGGAACTCAAAGCAAAGGACTGAGAGGCTCTGGAGAGAAGAGAAGATGAAACAGAAGAGCAAAACTGCTCTCACTGAGTTAATAAAAGCCATTGGGAACGTCCAAGCTCCCGGAAAACGACACTATTACACAAAGTCACAAACTAAACAAAAAAAAATATGTTTATTGGAAATTTTAGTGGTGGTGAAGTTTGAGGCAGAGTTCTTTGCCTTTCTTGGGCATTTATTTATATAGAGAGGCAAGACAAGAGAGGTTGTGATAGAGTCAGTTACACTCTTTTTTGGAGAGTTGTGGGCGTTGTGGAGGTACGTAGTGGGACGTTACAACGTGGCTGACTTTTTTGACTTGTTCTGGGCCGCCGAGGGCAATTTGGTAATAATGGAACACATTGCCACCTTTTTTTTTTTTTTTTTTTTTTTTTAAGGAACACTTTGGCGGTTTTTTTTTTTTTTGGCAGTTGTTTTTTTTTTTTTTTTGACGAATATTAATTTAGTTATATTGTGCACGTTGGTTAATAATGGTTAGATCATGGGGTCACGACTCATACGTGATCTTTGCAAAACAAACTCACGAGAAGGTTTTGGGGCACGTTTTGTTGAGGGAGACTTTTTCTGAACATTATAATTTGCTCAATAATTATAAGATTACATTCTAGCATTTTCGATTCTCAACCAGAAGGAAGTAGAAGTGAGCCTCCCGTAAAAATAAATAAGAATCACCGGATTTACACTCTAAATTCAGAATCCACAAGGAAACACCTCGAATTACCATCTCGATAATACAATATTTTCTCAAAACTTTACATCGTCAGGACCAATCGTATATTACAAGTATGTATAACATTTACATGAATACCGAAAGTTAACAATTTATACCTCAAGCCTCAAATTCACCTCTAGTCAACTCTAAAAGCTTCACATGTCTCTTTAGCCACACATCACTGAGAAAAAAAAAATTAAACAATAAAAGGCAAGCGAAAGGTATGTCGTCACCATATTACAAGGTAACATATAGGCTTATCATGCTACATAAATATGTCAAGCCCTTTAAAAACTAGAAAAACAAATCATATATATATATATATATATATCAATATAAATTACATTCAAATTTTTTTAAAAACAGTAGAAACATCACATGAATCTCATGAGCCAAAAACAATTAAAATAAAACTGCCAAAGAAAGGATATAATCAATATCCTACTCTTCTTCCCCGGTTTCCTTTATCAAATTCTCTTTTCTATTTAGTTGCCTAACTCCCTTCTCCTTGCCTCATAAGTGTGTGTATATATATTTATATATATATATATATATATAGGTAAATAAAATGAGCTTTCGAAAGACTTGTTTTTGGATCAGGCGGTCTAGAGAAATTAAGGAGATAAGCACATGAAAATTATGTGGGATGGCTAGAAGAATTTTGGGGTTATTTTGCAAATTTTGAAATTTAGGATAAAAATTATAATTTTTCAAAACTCGGGGTCAAAAATGTAATTTCACAAAACTTTGGATAAAAAATTTCAAAATTTCAAAATGCACCAAATATCAGTTTTAACCGTAAATTTTATAAAAATTTCACTCAAATTTAAAATATGCCCATTTATAAATAATAACTCGTTATTCAAAATAAACGGACGTTACAGAAAGCAACAAAATTAATTTTCCTCTATGAATTAATTAAGGGCGGTTTAGCTATCGTCCTATGTATATGTAAGCTTCGTCACATTCCGAATTTTTAAGCTGTCACAGATTTTTCAGTTGGATTGGTTTGTCATTCAATTGCATTTCAATAAACGTTTTCACCTGTTCTGATCGTCGTTGTTGTTTTATGTTTTTCAATACTTTGCGTTGTTTCCGAAGTTCCTCTTTTTGTCGTTTTTTCTTTGCTATGTCGTTTTACGAATTAAAGTTATTTTCCAACTTTATTGTCCTTTCTAGTTTGATGCGCTTTTCGTCCTTTCAATCGCTGTTTTTATAGTTGGATGTCTTTTAACAAATACATTGTCGTTTACAATGTTATTGCGTTTTTACTTTGATGTCCCTTTTTTTTTTTTTGTTCTTTCATCTTGGTCAAGCGTTGCTTTCCTTTTCGCTCTTTCTGTTGTTATTTGATAATATTTTTCGTTTTATTCAGTTCTGTTTCCCAATTGTCGTCATTTTAAACATTCGAAAAAGTTCAAAGAAGTTTTCTGTCGTTTAAAAATTAACGTCGTTCACTGTGTTTCCTGCCGTTTTTTCCATTTGATGTTTTTTTGGCCGTTTCGTTGTTTTTAAGTGTGGTTGCGGTTATTTATCCGACTTTCTCGTTATTGTTGTCCAGTTTTATTCTTTTACCATATTCTAATTATTGTTGTTCTCTAATATTCTCGTCGATTTAATTTAAAAGTCTCTTCTTTTTTTCCTCGAAATTTAGAAGTCTCTTCTTAAATGATGTCGTCTGATGTTTGTCCGTTTCTGATTTGTTTTTAGCGGCTTCTTTAATAATACCGTGATTTAAAATTTGTCGACCTTCATTCATTCCTAATTTCATTTTTCATGGTCGTTGTTTATTTTTTATGTCGTTTTGAAATTTCATTGTCGTTTTTTATTTTCCTCGTTTTACGTGCTGTATCTCAACTCATGAAAATTACTACCCAACTTCCTTAAAAAAAAAAAAAAATCACTGCCCAACTGTAAAGTGTAAGAAAAGAACTTTACAGAATCCACGTAGATCATATGCAGAAATTTGTTGAATACAAATTAGATTTTTATACAAGACCGGTAAAATACATTCTTCTTAGTCCCAGCATCTATATCAAGAAGTTATCGGTGTGCAATGAAAAAAAAAAAAAAAAAAAAAAAAAAACACTACTAAGATTTCGGATGAAGAGGTTCAATATTTCTCGTCGTCATGCAATTTCTACTTCTCTTGCAATTACTTGTGACTCCTGATCAGAACCATGATTGCTTGTTTTAAACTTGAAGGACTTTGAACTAAACAACCCCGCAAAAGCGCTCTTCGACCTTCGAATTGTTTCTTTTGCGCTCTTTGATCTCTGAATTGTTTGACGCTTTCCATTGTTCTTCTCTAGTTCATCTGATAAGGATCTGACTAGTTGCTCAAAACGACGCCGAAAAGTTGGATACCTTGAGATAGATTTAGTGATCCCTAGGAGCCTGTCATCAGAATATATGGTGGCGGAAATGAACCACTTATCAGATGAGGAAGAAAGATTAGTACAACATTTTGATAAGTTTTTGCAGCATCACCTCCGAGCTAAAGCGTCGAGCTCTGCTCGCTTACGCTCCGGTTCAGGGGATGGACCAATGTCTGCATCTTTCAACCTTGAAGGATCACCACTCAACAGAACCAACTTGCAAAAGTAACTCTCTTCTGCCTCGGAGAGGTTTTCTGCTCTAATCTGCTCCTTGATGATCAATAAGGGGTTGAGAAACCAATCAAACACGACATCTTTCGGTCTGTTTGTGCTATTAATCTCAGTGTTGTCATCTACATCAACAGAAAATACAAAAAACAATTAACAAGACTCCTAAAAGAAATGAATAAAGTGAAGTGTATATAACAAAGAAAAAGAGATTTGACTGACTTAACAATATGCCTCCAGAATTAGCTTTTGAAGAGCGTATGAGTGTCTGAAGAAGGCAATAAGCTGGTAAGCCAGTGCCAATAATGCTGCTACCTTTACCAGACTTGGCATCTTCAATGTCTTGAAGGCTTATTAGTCCTTCCGAAACCAAGAGTTCTCCATAATGTTCACACTCCTTAAACAAGCTATCAAGAAGCTGCAAAAGTCATGAAAAGAATTTTCGTTTCAGCAACTCAGTCACGAGCTAAACAAGGGATGATTTTGGACATCAACACTTAACTTATATCTGACAACTAGTCTAATGTAGATTCAAGTGACAACAATACCAGATCAGCGAAAAAAAAGTGACAACAAGACCAAAGAAATTTATGTAGGATACCTCAAGTGGCTTCAAATCAATCATGGAACCTGTCTGGGAATTTCGGAAAGAGCCGGGCCTTGAGAAGGAAGATCCACGAGATGTTGTCCTAGATAACGCATCCTTCCTTCGGTAGCAAGGTCTACCCACATAAAACAAAATAAAATAAAATAAAAAGATATGTTAATATAGTCAGAGTAACTCGAGATCCGAAACATTAAAATATATAAGAGCTGAATTAGAACCTTGGGAAACATGACCCTTCAGGCATATCAAGAACATCATTGCTGTATTCATCATATATGGCAAGGGAGGCAACAATATAGCAAAGCCCAAACCAGAAAGAGGACTCCTGCAATCCAAATCCCAAAGAATCTATTAGAGGACGTTTGGTTCATGGATTCAGAACCATGATTCAGAACCATTCTCGGTTTACGTGTGTTTTTTGTGAGAAAAACACTGTAGCGAGCCACGAACCATGATCTGAACCATGACACGGATCCTTGCTCCAAACGCATCGTTAGTATGTTGTCCAAGGTCTAGGTAACGAGAACATCATCATAACTCTTAGCAAATAAGATGATGTCATTATATCTAACATGATAAGAAAAGAATCTATTTTAGCTGTAGCACCAAGAAGCAATAACCTGATAAACGATGGCCCCAGCGAACGCACCAAGAAAGATACTGGCCACGATGGAGGCCAATACTGCCCCAATGACAGCCAGTGGCCAAAGTAGGATAGCAAGACCTGCGAATGGCACGCATATCGTTTCCAAGAAAGGGCCTTCCCGACCTACAAGGTCATGAAACAAGCGATGCCACCCCTTAAAGAGCATATAAAAACCTTTGAATAGGGCTATAACTGAGATCACCGGCCAATCAACAATGAAACCTAGGACGCCTGCTACAACTGCACCAGGAAGATAAAGAATTCTGCGGAAAGAAAAGGCAAAAATGAGAGTTTGTAAGAGAAATAATGGACATCGCTAAAAGTACAAATCAAATGAAAATGGCTTGCAAGACCAGAAAAAGCAAGTTACACAACAAAATCGCAAGACACTAAGGGGTCTTCATTCTCCAATATCACATATCAATATCACTGTAGTTGTGATAAACGATGTAGTTTTCCCGTTAATGTTTGTCATACAAGTAACTAAGAGAATGGCATTCTGTTATGAATGCTAGTTATTGCTAAGGATTAATGGTGAAAATTTAGCCTCTACTTCAGGGATTTTTTTTTTTGAAAGTAAATAACAAGAGCAATATTATAATAGGAGAAATGCTAGCAATCACTCTTTCTGGCACTGTCTTTGTCACTCTTTGACATAAAGAGTGATGCTAGAATTTCTCTTATAGATCCACTCTGCAAACCTGATCTCATAGTATTTTCCATTTGGAGGCCCTTGTTCCCTTAAATCATTCATAACTGAAAAGTAAGAATGGTGGCAAACATCCTTCAGATCCCTGATAAAGGTGAAGCATCCTTTGAAAGTGCTGACAGTTCCATCCTACAAACATTATGAATCTTCTTTTCACCAAACGCAACAAGAGAATAATGATTGGCAGCACGAAGTATCATATAAAACTAGCACCACAATATCGAAAACATACATAAAAGCAGTGATACAATTTGCTGGTCTTCCCTTCTTCAACAGCTTTAAAAGTAGCCATTACTGGTGAAAGAAAGCCGTAGGCTGCTCCGCCCACAATGCTTCCAAGAATACCAACCACAGGCCACAATATCAAAAGTATAGGTAGCACAGATACACACAGAACAAGCTTTAGAACTGGCCCCAATTTTTTAGCCCTGCCAATTAAAGAGAAAGAAGAATTAACCCACAAGGGAAAACAAATAAAAAGAAACTAAAAATAAATAAATAAATAAAAATGCAAATGGCTACGAGAGAGTACCACAAAATGCTGTAATAAGCCCAGACACCGTGTGGCAGCCAAAGAACAAGTATGATAGCCAAGTTTCCGGCTGTCATGATTAGACAAATCACGGGGCATAATATGATACCTGAAACAAAAGACGGGTGTTTGGTTTTTTCATATTTAGACAAAGCAGACAAACTAAACCTTCAAGTCTTGTACATTAAACTCTGTGTTCTAATCTCTACAAAATGTCAGCAAAGTTCATCACACTGACTCAAAAATACCAAATCAGTATCATCACTTTCTCAACTTAAGAAAAAACAACATGAGCAAAACTATCTTTTGAATTGGTTCTAATTTCTATAATCATGAATGTGATGCCTGCCCATGAGAGAGTTCTGCAAAAGAAACAGACCCCCCTAAAAAGGATAAAACATTGACTCAGCAGAAAAGGGAAAAATAATCCAAATGCGTAAGCATTGAAAATGCTATCTAAAACAGTACCACAACAATCAAACATACTAGATTTTAACTGAGATAGAATAGTAATAACAGAAAAGTCCGCACAACCATTCCAACACAAGATTTTCTTCAACAAAAATACTGTGAATTTCTTTTCCAAATAAATTACTCAATACCTCAACCCTACAACCGCATAAGCAGTTTGAGCGCAGAAAATATATTAACAAGAAAAAAAAAGATGGAAAAATCTCAGAACAGATAACAAATATTAAAGATAAACTAACACTAACCTTTAATATGGCCAAGAAGCAAAAGGCCAATGAAGTAAGGTAGAAAGCGAATAAAGTTCCACAGAGAAGCCCAAATTCCTTTCGGAGGTTCCATTTCTTCTATTCACAACTCGCACAAACCAGATCTTCCTAACATTATTTCATGCCCACCTGACACTCAAACGCTAATACCTCTTTCTTGACCCCAAAAAAAAATGTAAAAGAAAGAAAATTTCTATAGACCCATGTCAGAAAACTTACTCAAAATCCGTAATTTAGTTTTGTTTTGGCACCAAAGACCTCGAATCTTGTAGTTTCAGAAAAAGACGGGGGCAGTTTCCATTTCGTATTTTTGAACATTGGAACTTGGAAGTTCGTGGATATGGGAAGTTACTGATGATAGAATCAGAGTTAGGCCTCCCCAGCCAAACTCCTTCCTTAATTTTCCTTTTTTTTAAATTTAATTTCGGATTTTTATTCTTTGGGATTTTTTTTTTTGCTGAATTATTCTTTGGTTCTTAAATTAAAAGCAAAGCAACTTGGGTTCTGTTCTAGTTGTAAAGGTAGGGGGAAAAAAATAAAAAATTTTGTAATTTAAAAAAAAAAAAAAGAAAAAAAAAAAAAGAAGATTGGAAGAATGACACAGGAGTGAAGGAGGTGTGTCATCAGGTGGAGTGGCATTAGCCAAAAACAAGCGTGGGATTAGCCAAAAAACAACAGTAACCTAGGGGCTCCTCTCTTAACTAATCACCATGTGCCCGTACGTGGCACAATCTGACAAGACAAATTATTCTAAAAATTTAAGTTGACGTTTGGATCATAAATTCAAAATTATTTTTAATTTATGTATATTTTTTATGAGAAAAAATACTGTAACGAATAACGAATCATTATCTGAATCATGGTACGAATCTTTACTCCAAATACAAACTAAAAGTGCAATCTTTTGTTTGGACGAAATTTTTTTTATTGAGAATTTATATTAAATTACCACAAAATCATCATTTTTCTTGGAAATCTTTTTATGGAGTTTTTACGTATTTATTTATTATTTATTTTTTTGGTAAGAAAACATTCATTATTTATTTAATATGATGATTCGTAATTTATTATAGTATTTTTTCTCATAAAAAATATATATAAATTAAAAATAAATCTGAATAATTTACACGTCCACTCAAAATCTTATGGAAACCTGGCTGGTTATCTTTTGTCCTTGATCTTCGAGCTGACCAACGTGGACCACAAGAAACTGAATTAGTTTTAAAACCTTTTTATTAGTTACAACGTTTTATATCTCCTTCCGTGAAGTGTCCTGTAATAAAAAGTGATACCATACTCGATCGAAGCTATTGTAGAAGTTTGACAAGAAAACAACATACAATATACCAATGATTTAAAAAATGCCAGGCGCACTCAATTTAGTTTTCAAATCACTTTCTAAAATAGCACGAATGAAAATAATAGGAGTTTCTTTAGTAGGAATAAAAAAAAATGAGTTATCGGTAATTTTTAATTTTTAGTCATCAGATTTATATTAAAAATTGTATATTTTATATATATTTTTTAATCTGATGTGATTTTAACTAAATTCACGATCAAAAACTTATATTACTGTTAAGCAGGCTTGCCGGAAAAAGTTTCAAAAATAAAAACCAATAATTTCGAAGTTCAAGCAAGTCAAAACAAGTTTTTATTTTGTCTTTACAAAAAAAAAAAAGTGAGAGTTGCACTCAACATCTTATAATAGAGTTGGGAATCAAGATTACAACTACCTATTTTGTCCATCTTATTTGTATTATTTTTTCAAATAAAAAAAAGAAACAAAAATTTCCTTCACAAGATTTTGCTGCTCAACATAAGATGTTGGAAGTTTTATTTTCAAGGTGTTGATGTTGGTTAAAGTGTAGAAAACAATCATTGTCAAGTGCAAGAGTGCATTACTTATGCTCCACTGGGTAGGCTGAAGACAGCAGGCAAAATAAGAATGGACAAACAGGAACCACTCCATGTGATCTTTTAGCTTGTTTACCTTAATTATTCAGATTCTCATGTATTATTTCTATTGGAATTGATACGGGGTAAACAGATATACCTTTGTTTTGTTTATTTAATCCAAAAATAAAAAGGTGGCATTTGTTTATATTTCAAACAAGCTTACTTTTTCATCTATTAGCAAACTTAAAATCACTGAAAATATAAAAATAACTTTCCTTTTTCTGGTACAAAAGAGAGAGCATCAAAACACATGCTTATCTACCAGCAACAATTATTGCATAATTCTAATCTTCACAAGTCTATATCAGCATATTAAGTGGCACACCAAGAAAGGCCGTCATATTATAAACAAAAGCGAAAAATGTACAAAGATATGAAATGAATCTATCATACAGGTTCACGGCACCAAAGGATTTGGTTCTTTTTCTGATCTATGCGGGTTATTTCCTGTCTACCACATGGTTGAGTCCAGCTGAATACAAACATTTTCTGACTCGTAAAAATTCGGTTAGTTTTTCATTCTTCTGCAACTTTCCCTTTTCTTTCAGGCGGTCGAGGTCCTAAAAGTCTTAGGTCGATTGTCGCACCATGATATTGTGATGATTCAACCACTATGTCGTAAGCCTTTGGAGCTAGACGGAGGCCTTCATTTTGAGCCCTCAAGTACAACTCATATGCAAGCCTCGGTTTACAATCGTTAGCTAGAGCCTCAATCAGCATTTCGTAAGTCACGTTGTTTGGAGTAATGCTCTGAGCTTTCATGCGGTGAAACCACTCAAAAGCCATGTCAATCATATCATTGCGTGCACAGCCGCTGATTATTGCATTGTATGTCACGACAGTTGGCTCAATCCCTGATGACACCATCTCATGAATGACGGTATCGACCATGTTAAACTTCCCATGTCCAGCGAAAACTGAAGCCATAATTGTGTAAGCGTACACGTTTGGTCGGATACCAACCTTGAGCATATGCTCCCAGACCTGGCGAGCCTCGTCATAGAGTTTTCCTTTTTCAAGGGCACTAAGCAATGCCCCATAGGAAAGGAATGTAGGTTTTTGACCTTGTTCCACCATTCTCTTGAAGATCTTTACAGCAGCAGAAGTTTCTGAAGCCTTGGAACAAGCAATAAGAACTGCGTTCCATTCCTTACTTCCGGGTTTTAGGCCTTTCTCTTCCATCTTGTTAAGCAACCTAACACCCCACTTCCAAATCCCTCTTTTTCTAGCTGCAGTAAGGAGAATGTTAAAGTGAGACACTATTATTTCATATGACATGTTGTTTGGCTGTGGACCTTTGTCCAACAAATCCTCATAGATTTCCAAAGCCGTCCACCACCTCTTAGCTTTCCCCATCAACCAAATCGTGTGGTTGCACACCGACAAACTTATATCGGAATACCCTTCTCTTATTCTGTCATACAATTCTTTTGCCACTAGATGATGTTCTTCACGGGTGCAAGCCCACAGTAAGCGTTCATGTTCTGATCGACTGGGAGGAATCCCGGCAATATCCATCTTTGTTAGAAGTTTTAGAACATTGGTACTCAAGTTGTCCTCATTTACAAGCCAGTGTCGCATCACTTGATAGCAAACACGTATTGTAAAGTTCTCAAGCTTAACAAACTCATTTTCCCAATCTTCATCATCATCTTTGCCCATCTCTCCTTTCTGATACTTTTCTCTGATCTCAACAAAGAACTTAAGTGCTCCATGCCCATCCTCCATCCTCCGGTATGCCAACAAGGCTGTAGAATAGGAAACTGGAGATGGAGTTAGACCCTTCTTCCGTATCTCCTCGAGAACACTAAGGGCCTTGGTACCTTCTCCATTCTCCAAGTGAATTGCCATCATAGTATTGTAAGTAACAACATTGGGAACCACTCCTTCCTGAGCCATATAATTCAAGACTTTCTCCATCTCTCCAAATTGTTCAGATTGCTTCACCGCGCCCAAGAGACTATTGTATATGAATAAGTTGAGGCTAATTAAACCATTGTTTTCTTCTTTCTTTCTCTTAAGCCACTCAAGAAGAGCAAATGCAGGATCAAGTAACTTTTCTCTACCTAAACCCCTAATCATGGTTGAGAACACTTGAGGTGGCAACTCGCCCTTGTCCTTAAGAACTTCATCTACATCATCCGCCGTTTTAGCAAACCGTAAGCTCGAAGCTAGTTCCCGAACATCGACCTTACCCCCCTTCTCTTCCCTACTCTTTTCCTCACTCCCAACATCTTCTATTACTTTGTTTTCTTGTTCTTCATCACCATTATTATCATCACCACTCTCTATTCTCCCCAGAAGAAGATGACCATCACTCAATTTTCCTGACAAACTACATTCCGAATCCAATTCTTCTATCCGAATTGCGCTCCCAACTGCTTGTTCCTCCAGTGCCCCCGCCAACGCAACCGAGGCGCCTAAAGAGCTCTTCTTCTTAGGCTTACAAAAGCGAGCAACTTTAAGCTTAGAGAACCCAAATAAAAACCCGCATCCCAAATCAAATTTTGGCCTATCACAGAAACCCCCATATCCAACACCTCTAGAATTCCTTGTAGACAACACAAAACCAGTAATTCTACCATGACAGACAGGAAAGTGAAAACCAAAATCCAATACATTTTTCCTTCTCCTTCTACTACTGGTTTTAAGAGAAGAGCTCTTTTCAGAGCTCAATTGTGGTACAATCCACAAGTCACCCTTTAAGGGCCAAGTGCTTAAAGCTTGCATATTTCTAAAGAATTTACAAGTAAAGAGAACAACCCAGAATTGAAAATCTCGTGAAGGAGAAAGATGAGGTGTTCTTCCTTCTCATATTGTGCTTTTCCGGTTACCAAAAAGTTACTCTCTTTACAATGACCAAAGGAAGAAACAAAGGACAAAAAATTGTCTGCTTAATACGGAGTATATAGATTTATCTGAAGATTGGAAGTGATGGGTTGCATACCTGAGTTTGTAAATTTGCAGAGAGAGAGAGAGAGAGATAATTTGTAAAATTGGGTTCAGCTGATTCCAATTTCCAGTGGAGTGAGTTTTCGAAGTGGGTTTCGGTTTTCTCTTTCAGTGATGCTGTGGATTTCTCACAGCCATTCAATTGAAAATTTGCAGCGACCGGTGAAGAAAAATCAGTGTAAATTGTAATTAAAGAAAATAAATTATAATGGGCCATAATTCAGCCCATGGATCTAATAGCAGCAAAGCTAGCCGACAGATCCCATGGGCCTAGCATTCAGAACATTGATCTAACTGGGCCAAGTTTTCAGCCCAGTACTTGATTATTAGGCCTTCTTTTTTTGGGCTAATAAATGAACAATTCCGTGCCGAAATGAGAGAAATCACTTTTGGAGAGTTGGGATCGCGAATTTGTATTTGGAAAAAAAAATGATAATAAATTTACTTTAAAAATTCCCCTTCAATTATATGCGACTCTTTAATTATAAACATGGGTTTTAAGGACTATATTTATAAATCTTAAGAACCATCATATCAAATTATCAAAATATTATTGAGGAAACGTACTTGAATCCATAGTAGCGACAATTAATACTTTACAGAATTATTACGCACCGGTTATTGTCTTCTTTAGTCAAATTATTATAATTTTTTAATAAGGTATTTCTCTCTAGATGGGATAAAAGTGAAAGGAATGATTTGACGTATTGAGGACCATAATAACCTAAATGACCTTATATATTGAGCCAATAGACACCTATTAAACCTAGTTGGATCAGTATTGAGTATCCACTCATTAAACCTAATTGGGTTACTATTAGGTATTCACTCAATTAGTCTATACCTTGTTAAGAGACTTATTGGGCTGTCCTAATTAGGCCACTTTATTAGCCCATTAATTAAAGAGTAGTTATATTTACACCCCAAAATTTTATAGATGTCCCCACTAATTAATACTTGTCTAATAAAGATTTTAAAAATCTATAATTTTATAGATATAATTTTCATAATACCTAATTTAACCCTTTCATACCCCACCTAATTTTAAACTTGATTTTATTTATAAAATAATATAATCTCTTTCAACTATTATAAATATAATAACATAATCTCTTTCAACCATTAATGTTATATTTTCTTTTTTAAAATTAATGCAATTCTCTTTACATTTATTTATCAATTGTCTTTGTCTTACCGAACAAAAAATCACAAGAACAACTCTCCACATTTGATCCTCACAAAATTGCTCCTTTGATTGCTTTGGCTTATAATATTGTTAATAGACAAAACTAATGAAGACTTGTTCTTCGTTTCTTATTTTTAGATTAATTTTGGTTTAGTATAAAGTAAAAAGTGGGGTATATTTTTTATTCCTTTGAAAAATACTTTCTAATTATAATTAATGTGAGTGTATGCTCTTTTATTTTCTTTGAAAAAATATTATTTCCATTTATAATTAACGTGGGGTATGTTAATGGGTTTAATGTAATTTTAATGCATGCAAAACTGTAATAAACATAAATTATGAATTGGTGGGGCATTAATAAATTTGGTGGATAAAATATAATTACTCTTAATTAAATAGCATAATGTAATTGTTAATTAAAATATGTGGCCCACATTAATAATAGGAAATATAATTTCCTAACATGATACTCTTTGTAATACTTTGTCCCCTGGTCGTTAAAACGTAACATTTGTTCCCCTTAAACAATAAAATGCTAACAACGAAACCCCTCCGCTAGTTTTTTAATTGAAAAATGACATTTAATTTGTTATTTTGAGTGTATTTTGATAATTTTATAGTTTTAAAATTTAATTTGAATTTAAACTAATTTAAATATTTAAAAAACCAAAATACCCCAAATTTTAAATACTCATAAAATTTGTAACGTACATTCAATCAATAATGAATGTATCATAACTAAAAATTTAAATTTAAATTAGTTTTAAATTCAAACTAAATTTTAAATCATAGAGCTACTAAAATACTAAAAAATAGTAATCACCTGTCAATCTCCCTTACAAAAACTAAACGGATGAGGCTTTTTTTTGTTAACATTTCATTTTTCAGAAAAAACAGATATTACGTCTTAAAGATTGAGGGGCAAATTGTTATAAGAGGTATAACTCAAGAGAAGTTTTTTGTAATTAATCCAACTGATTTACATCTTTGAACAAAAAAAAACGATTTATGTGAATAGAAATGTATATGATTTGTCATGATTTTATGCATTTTTATTATTTATATCATTTTAAATAATTAGTGATATTTTGTTTTCTTTTTATTAATTGAATGATAATTATTTAGTTTTGAGTGAAGTATCTTGAATGGTATTTTTTATTTTTTTCCATAATTTAAATCTTCAAAAGTGATTCACAGCACAGTCTAGTTAAGACTTGAGACTTAAATTTAAGCTCAGTACGTGCCATTTTTCTTTTTGAAAAAATAGATTTTCATGTAAAAAGGTAATTAGTCTTTTGTTTATATTACCAAATAATCAAATTTTTTGTCCATTTTATTCCTTTATTAGAATGGCGTTTTTTTTTATGACAAAATCACACCGAAAGGATCGGCTCGTTGGCTTCAACTGTAAAACTGGCCACGAAGTTCATTTGCAAAATTAATTTAACCGTAAGATAAGTCATATAACTAGAGATAAATAAAATAATAATAGCAGAAAAGCACAAAAGGATGTTCCCGAGCGTGCCTAACACGTCCCAAATTATGGGATACTCAAAATTTTGTATATTATCATCCATGTAATTCGAAATGTAAAATATTGACCGTGTTTATAATTGATCATGTTTTTATTTTTTATATTTTTTGAGAAAAAAAAATGAAAATGTTCTTAAAACAACGTTTGGCGCAATAAAGATAAAAAATGAAAATGAAAATGATTTTTTAGTTTAGTGTAAAATAAGAGAGAAATGAAAAACGACTTTTAGTCGTTTTTCATTTTTTTTTCTTTTTCTCCTCTCTCGAGCAAAAAGAGAGACATTAATGAATTTTTTTACACTGAAAATAATCTCTTAAAAAAACTACTAAACATATTTTTAAAAATAATTTATATGTGAGATTAAAAACGTATACAAAAAATAAAATTATTTTAGAACGAATTTCAAACGCGTTCATTACTTTTCAACGCATATATCAATAACTTTTTTATAGTGGTTAGTGATCACCACGATGTGTGAGAAAAATTAAAAAATTAAAAAAAAAACAAAAATAAGAAAAATATATATAAGAAATGCAGCTTTGTGTGTAAAGGCACGCGTGCCTGGTAGGATTTAAAGACAATGTTGTTGATTTTCACAAAAAAAGTACATGAACAAGACAGAATTCGTCTGACCGTTCAAACAAAAGCCGGACTATACATTAGAGATTCTAACATTTTATAACTGTTGCAGAAAAAATTAGATGTGACATATTTTTAAAATTTTTTATTATAGAAATTTAAAATTGAAAATTTGAATTCGCGAAGTAAACGAGGCCTTTATAACTGCATTTCTTATTTCTTATTTTTGGTACATCACTGCACGTTATTAAGAAATAAACGCTCTAATTTCTTACTATGATATAGAGCCCTAGAAATTGTTAATTAAACAAACGAACAAAGAAATAAGAGCATAAGATTTTATAGTGGTTCAATCTTAAAATGAGATTAATTACGTTCACATTCCTTAAATTATAGCAATTCACTATAATCATTTGTAGAATTCACATATCTCGTACTTGTTGTGTTTTCCTCCAGCCCATCTCATAACCTTAAAAACCGTACTCCCTTCAATAAAAGAAAATTATGGCAATCAAAATTACAAGTGTTAAAAATCCAAAAACCGATCCACATGTGCCTCAGGATAATAATTAAATTCCACAACTTAATACATGTGTAATAGTTTCAGCTTCTATATTGTCATATAATATCTATAATGATTATTTTTAGAGACTTTTTTCGGTGTTTTCTCTTTTTAGGAACACTGATTTTTTTTTATTTTTTAGTCATCAGATTTGTATTAAAATTTATATATCATGCATACTTTTTTAATTTTGTGTAATTTTGATTAGACTTAACGGTTGAAAAAGTAGTAAACGCTGATGTTCTTAAAAGAATGGAACAACAGATGAACTCTCTTATTTTTTATCTAAAAAAATAAATTTAGCTGTGATGATGAAGGAAGAACAGGAGGAAGGGAACAATAAATGCTTTTGAAGGCATCACGGGTCACGTATATATACATAATATATTTTTTATCATGTATATATGCATAATACATTTGGACATATAAATTAAAAGAATCATATATGAATTATGATGCGCATAAAATCTCTGGTTATATCTTCTACTCTGAGCAAAAACCAAGTACCAACAAGAAGCAAATCTTGTGGGATGCGTGAAAGAATCAATCTTGTTTTTGCATGATTACTTCTCTTTTGTACATTTGTTATCACCATTTCCTTAGTGCTCGACATCCTACGTACGTCTTCACGTGTCCTTTAATAATAGCAAAGGCTGTGTTTATCGTCTTACTTAAACAAATATATATATATATATATATATGCATATACGTATATAATCTCTCGTAGCACTATAATTGATCTAGTGGTAAATTGATATCCGTCAAAACATTTTTGAATTGGATTGTAATAATTAGCTAAAATCTATATAGGGATATTACACATGATTGTCTTTGTCCAATAATATCAATCCCCTCTTGATCACATAATTCATGATTGAGGATTCCTTATAGCTAATATTATTAAAATACATATATTGTTTTTGTTGATGAAATACCATGTTGGTCTAGAATCATTAATGAGACGTTTAGTTCATAGATTCAGAACTATGATTCATGATTCTAATTTTTGAAATTTAAATTTTTTGTGAGAAAAAAATGCTATAAAAAACTAAGAACTATGATTCAAAATCAGAGACGAATAATTGAAACAAAAATCTCATAAGTCTATATTCAAGCATCATGAGATTTTAATCGATTAAAAAAATATTGACATAGCATTTCTTTGTAAATTAAAAATTAAAAGGCAAGCAAAGACATATTATATGAATTATTGCCGACTACTGAAGCAGTCATGTTTTGGCCCATACTAGGATTATACAAGCATTTGCAATATTATTAAAACGTGACAAATATATTGTCGTTCCAACATTTGGGGTCCATGCCACACACACTAAAAAGTTCACTGCACTCTTATAACATCAGCTGTTATTTTCCAAACCTATATGTTTTTTCTTTATATATATATATATATATAAACCTTGGAGTGAATGTATTATGTATATACGCTTGCTTATCTGCATGCGGGTTGTCGTTTGTTGCTAAAATTCAACCATTACTAGAACGCTTTTTATTTTTTTATTTTTTTCCTCTTTTAAAATACATAATGAGAACCCTTTTCTTCCTTATAGAAGTAAATAAAGTACTTTAATAATTGATTTCATATATAAAATGTCACAACTTACTTTGGATATATTTATATTTTGATAAAGTCTTACTTTTAACTATATATATAAAATTTCACAGCTTACTTTATATATATATATATGTATATATATTTGATGTAGTCTTGTATAACTTATAGTTAGGAAATAAAATAGCATGGGGTAGCTAGGGTTGCATGTGGCTTAGATAAGTAACTATTGGATACAGCTTAAGGGGGAGAAAAAGAACAGAATATGTTATACATTCGGATATGTGTGGAACGAGTGAATATTCTTGAGTTGGGCTGTACAATTATCCCTTAATTTTGGAAGAGATTAATGTATTTTTACGAGTATAAGCTAACATTAATTAATGAAAAAAATGGACCATTAGACATAGTTGACACTTGAATAGAGAAAAAGAAAGGGAGACGACACAGAACAATATTATTCTAGACTCACTTCCACATGGGTTGATACCCCTACAGATTAGCCAACCGCCAATATATATATATATATATATATATATATACACGCGCGCGCGCGCACATACCAAAATGTAAACACAAAATGAAAATTAATCTCTAATCTGCCCACCTAACTGAACCAAAACCGTATCAAACTCGCAAAATTCTACAAGTAACGACAAAAAGGGTTTCTCTATTTTGTTTAGTGCAACACATATTCTGAGTACATATTTGAGATCTATTACTCTTCTCTGATCTAAGAATAATTAATACACAATTTAGACCCCGATTGCGCATTCAAATTTAGGTATAGAAAACTACTTAACCAATAAAAACCTCCCAACTAACTTTTCTTCCGTCGTATGCAAACAAAGCTTGCGGTGTACAAGTGATTGTAATTCACTTTCCTTTTCCCTTTTCTTGCATGAGATGACATGTTAGTTAGTCATTGGGGAAACAAAAAACTACTCATTTGAAAGCTTAGTAGTATCCGAAGGAAAAAAAGAAGAAGAAAAAATGCACTTGGACAAGAGGACAATGACCATGGCTAGAGACAAACTGAATTGATTGTTTCCAAACCTAGTGTAAAGACTTGGAGATTTTCTTCCTTTTTTTTAAGTACTATAAATCTTCATTGAAAGCACCTACATTGTTGAATTGATTGTTGTGTGTGAGTGTGCGAGTGTGCGCGTGAGTTCAGCATGATTCGAATTTTAGTGGTTTCGTTATTTATTAGTAAAATGAAAATTATAAGTCTCACATTAAATGAAAAAAAAAACCTTATATTAAATTATTGGACATAAACATAATAATAAGAGACGACCGCTCTGTGACTAGGAGTGGCAATTCGTGTTGACAGGTCGTGTTGACCCCTTCAGTTGACACGAATAGGTTTGACACGAACACGACCCGTTTATTAATCGTGTCGAAATACAAAATCTAAACACAACTTGTATATTGGCGGGTTGATACGACGCGACACGAATAACCCGTTTATTAAACAGGTCATAAATGTGTCGTGTCAACCCGTTAATTACCTATCAACTCGTTTATAAAATTAGTGATAAATGGGTCATGTTAACCTATTTCTGAACCTATTTTTAAACTTGTTTATAAAATATGTGATAAATGGGTCGTGTTACTTATTTCTGAACCTATTTTTGAACATGTTTCTAAAATGGGTAATAAACGGGTTGTGTATTCGTGTTACCCAAATATGACACGTTTAATAAACGGGTTATGGCGGGTCAATTGCGGGTTGACGGGTCAACCTAGAAATGACACGTTATTTAATCGTGTTTCACGGGTTTGACTTGATTTTGACCCATACCTATTTATGATAAATCTAAACCCGTTAATTTCGTATAGATTTCGAGTCGTGTCGTCGTGTCACTACCCGAATTACTAGCCCTATCTATGACTCTCTTATTTGTTAAAAGTCTAATTTTATGTGTTTGTGTATTGATATATACAAATATTCGGGGATTGTTAAGGAGAGCGTGGACCAAGTCTATTTTTCGAAAACATATTAAACCACCAAAATAGTGTCATATTTTGAAAAGGACCACCCGACCAATTGGTGTTAGTTTGGCCCGCTAATCAAGCAAGCGTGTCTCAAAGCACCCACCCCCATGTGCCTTAGCCCCCCCACAAAATTAGCATTAGAAACCATACCCATATTGTTCCCCATTTGTCATTATTTCATTGGCCATTCACTATCATGAGTCCTAGTATTTTAGTCTTTTGGCCCTTTTGTTTTGTCCTATTAATGCAATAGCTATTTTCCCAAGTCTTTCCAACTACTATATAACTACCCAACCTCCAACACTTGCTCTTCCCCCTTTAAGTTCTGAAAGAGAGAGAGAAAGAGAAAGAGAAGAATCTACATAAAGCTAGCAAATTAGCATTAGAAGTCAAGTCAATTTATTAACTAGAAGACGATGATCAAGTTCAGGTCAAAGAAGTACTTCTGCAGAAGCAGCTCCAAGCTGAGCAGAAATGATAGTGGCGGTAAGCTTAAAGGAGGTGACCAAAAGGAGTCATGTGGAGGCAATATTACTGAAATCAAATGGGAGCTTCGACCGGGTGGAATGCTTGTCCAAAGGAGAGAGACTTGTCAAAGCGTTGGGGAAGGATTGATCACCATTAGAGTCTCAACTGTGTCACAATGGCATGACATTTCTATTGAAGCCACTTCCACATTTGGTACTTTTTTTTTTTTTTTTTTTTTTTTTTTTTTTTATATATATACAATACAGGATTGAACCCGCAATTCTTTACCCAAATCTCAACTCTCTCTTCAGTGTCACTATACCAAAAAGTCTTAGACCCTTTAGTACGTATGTTATTAATTGTAAATTGGTAATTTGCTTCACAATTTTAAATAATTCGAAGATAAAAAAACCCATTTGAAATTTGGTAGAATTTTTGATATTTGGCTAATTTTTAGTCCTTAATTTTAATTTTTGTTCCTTTTTCTTTTTTCAGGGGAATTGAAGGTGATTTTGTCATTGATGACGGGTTTGGAGCCAAAAGAACAAAGGTTATTGTTCAAAGGGAAAGAGAGAGATGACAATGAATACTTACACATGGTTGGGGTTAGAGACAAGGACAAGGTGCTATTGCTACAAGATCCAGCTATTAAGGAAATGAAGCTTGTCAGCTTCGCCGGAGGACAACCTATTCGCAACTCTCGTCCTACCATTAGTGTATGATTAGGCTACTTAATTAAAAAATATATATATTAATGTTCAGTACTAACCACTAGAAAATTGAAAAAAAAAAAAAAGGACTACTTAATTAAATATGGTGTTCATCAATCGTGGATCCCTTCTTGTTCACTCGGCTAGATTAGCGACTTAATGTGTCACTTTGTGTCGGTCCAGGAAATTAAAAAAAGTGTGTACGCTGATTCATATGCGCGTCATTTTGCTTAATTTACATCTGTTTTATGAAGATGTTGATTCCATGTAATGTATATCTTTAATGCTTCCTTTTGGCCAAAGAAAAAAAAGTTATTTTCTGTGCTCTGTCTCTGTCTCTCTCTCTTTGTGTGTTTGTGTGTGTATATATAATTGGATTAATTAGTCTGGCAGCTGGATTAATTATAGAGATGTTTGTAAATATCTTTTAAGTCCAGCCGCTAGATTAGTCCGATAAATGTAACTTTTTTCATATTATAATACTCAGATCATTTAAATATAGTATTCATAAAATATAGTCTAACACATGTATCTTTTGAGTATTACGCTTAAACACTCTGAATGTTACGTACACTTATAAACAATACTATACAGAAATTAAAAAAAAAATACATTTGCTGGACTTATATGGCCGTTGGACTTGAGACTCTTGAGTCCGTTTGGTACGTAGATTCGTTCCCTGATTCGAATCATAGTTCGTGATTCGCTACAGTATTTTCTTTCACAAAAAAATACACGTAAATCGAAAATAATTCTAATCACATAATTTGAATCTATGAACCAAACGTGACAGCTCCATATTATAAACATAAATAAAAATGTATGTAGTATATGTATATATATGTTCTCTAAAAGCACGCGTGCACACCGACACCAAAAAATAGCATGTACATGAGTACTGCAAAGCTGGCCACTCCAGTACTTATAAAGCCGATCGAAACAATATTGTAATGGCCAAAGAGCTTTCAATTTCATGGGTTTCCACGAATTTTTTTTTTAAGGTATTGCTTGAACCAAAAGTGAGATTACAATCAATGCCCACAATAAATCATATGATGAAATATTATTTTGTGCCTAGGAATCGTAGGTTGAACAATCCACTCAAACTAGCAAAGGGGTCCCATATTGAGAGGCATTCAATTAATTCATTCTCTGTGTTAGAACAACATTCTTATTTCTTGGATGCAACTTCTTTTCTGGCATGTTAGCGGCCAACAGACCAAAAAAGCCCATCACAATGATTTTCCACTAAAAATACTTTGGTATTGGACAATTAGTGCTTTTTTCCGACAACTTGATCACAATTTTAAGGCTCTAATTATATTTTATGAAGTGCTTCGACGTGAAGAAATAAACAAAATATATTTAACTTTTGTATTGGATTACAGGTCATTCAAACCAAATTAGCTGATTTTGTTTGTTTGGATAGTTTATTCCGCATTCTTTTTCTGGAAGTATCTTTCAGCTTTTTTTTGGGTTTAAAGCGTTTTTTTAAATAGAAAATATGATTTTAAATACTTACTCTAAATACTTGTATTTCTTTTATTTTATAGAACACTACTATAAGACATCAATAGTGTTGAGCACCGCAAATAATAACTAACACTTGTGTTTAACTTCTATTCCTATTACCTTAACTATCACTAAATTTAATATTTATTCCATATTAGTATCAGTGGTATCACTATCATTTATCTTCATTCCTTTTAGTTTTTACTGGTGGTTTTTTTTTTTTTTTTTTTTTTTTTTTGAGAAAACTTGCTTGCCCAACAGAAAATGAAATATAACAATCTCCTTCAAACGAAAATAACAGACATTTTCTCAGCAAAAAAAAAAAAAAAAAAAATCAACAGCAAACATATATTTCTTTTCATTAGAGGAAGAACACCGTGTCATCTGAAATTCTTTTCATTAGAGGAAGAACAGCATGTCATCTGAAATAGTGTCGTCTGTTTGAAAGATGATTGCCCTAATGTAACAGATACGACGTCATATCGGTTGCTGCCGATTATATTTTATAAAAGAAAACTTGTCGTTTGCATGTGGTGTCGTACTTTAAAATTACTGTCATACTCTAAAAGAAAACGACATTTCGTTTTTTAGCTCTTGGAATAAAAGTAAAACGCACGTCGTCTATTACAAACACATTGTTTATCTTTTGTTGTCGTTTTCCCGAAATAACATGTTAGTCGAAAACAAACATTTCGGTTTTTCACTCGAAGACGCGCTATGTTTTCAGTACAATGAACAAAAACTATCCATATGTCGTTTTTCTTCATGGAAACGCAAACAAATCGTTCAAAATGCATAGTTTTTGAATAAAAAGTGGCACGGCTTTTGCTGACAAATGTCGTTTTACGTATACATCGTGTCGTGTCGTTGTAGCTGAAGATAAAAAAACGACGTGTTGTCTGTAGTTAAAGACAAAACGACTCGTGCTCGCACTTCTTTTTTTCCTTTCTTATTTGAGAACAAAAAGCCCACCAATTTAATTTTTTCTTTTAACAAATATATCCTCACCAATTATATTTAAATCTTATATTTAAAAAAAAAAAAAAAAAAAAAAAAACAGCTCAAGCGAACTCCAATATTTTGGAGAATAAGGATCCCATTTATTTATAAGATCATGCAAGCAAAAGTAAAATCAAACATACATTACAAGTTTATAACCACATGACTTCACACATGACGACATTAATCAAAGAAAACACGCTTTTAACTAATTTATTTTCATACAAATTTTAGCTTAATTTTCTCATAATTGCCATTATTCTTCCCTCATCACTTTCCTTCAATCGGAACGACCTTCCTCTCGAGTTTCTTGACCTCCTTCTTGGGAATAGTCACCGTAAGAACACCATTCTCCACGGAAGCCTTAATCTCATCGACCTTGGCATTCTCCGGCAACCTAAACCTCCTAAAAAACTTGCCCCTACAACGCTCCACTCGGTGCCACTTCTCATTATTTTTGTTCTTGTCGTCCTTGTCCACTTCCTCATTTTTCCTCTCTCCACTTATCTGAAGAACTTTATGATTACCATCACGATCATGATCAACTTCTACCTTCACTTCCTCCTTCTTCAGCCCCGGAAGATCGGCGACGAACACGTGCGCCTCCGGCGTCTCCTTCCAGTCCGTCGGGGTGTTGAGCACCGGACACTTGTTGATCATTGAAAGAAAAGGGTCTAGAATTTCTCCGCCAAAGAGATTAGAAATGATCGACATTTTCTTTTTTGTTTGTTTTTCTTATTTGCTATGAATTATGAATGTGTCTTCGTGTGGATATAGCTTAGCTAAGGTTTTTGGTACATACTTATAAGTGAGGAATTATAGTGTGTCTTGAAGTTTCTTGGCTCTTCGTTCTTAGACGTTACTTGAAAGTACTAGTACTGTTGTGTTGTGAGATTAGCTAGGATTATAATAATATTGTGTTGCAATTTAGTACTGTTAATGTTTATTATTCAAGATAAGGAATGATTTTGATCGATGTTTCTACAATCTTCGGTGTTCGAGCACGGCCTTGAATGTTCATTGACCTAACTTTTTTTCAATATATATATATAGGTCGCGTAATTAGGCTTTCTTGACAAACATATGTGAATGTAATAAACCGTGTAGACTAGAAACATAATTTTTATTTGTTAAGAATATATTATCATACTAATTAATTTTGTGTGCATAAACAGTTTGGATTTATACGTTCCGTACGTGTGTAAGTGTAATTTTAATTTTTTTTTTGTAATTATATATTTCAAAATTATTAGATTGATCCAGACTCTATAAAGTACTACAAAGAAAGAAAAATCTACATTTGATGAATCCAAAACTTTCCCACCACGTTCGTAGGCCACCCCAAATTATTGGATTGGACGATAAACCATTATTGAAAAATAAATATAGAGAAAGTATGTTTGTGTTTTGACGGTGAAAATTAGTCGATTCAGAATTTTATATCTCTGGGAACACTCACGTATCTACTCTCACGAATTAATCAAGAAAATAATCACAGGAAAGTAAAGAACACAAATTTATAGTGGTTCGGCAGAAAACTTCTTGCCTACGTCCACTTGTGGATGCACTAACAATCTCAGAATTACAATCTCTTTGAAGTAGTAAAGTAGTGCGTAAAGAACTAAATGAAGAATTTAGCCTTTTTTTTATAAGCCTTCCTCAAATCTGAGATCCTTATCTCTAGTTTCGCGATGATCATTCCTTTATCCTTAATTCTCGGGATTTGACAATTGTATTTTCATATTTGAATGTTCAAGTCAGAGGAATTATCTCTACAGGTTAATATTGGATCTTCTTATTTGAATTTGGATATTTGATAAGGCTTATCCAGTCTTGAATTGGCGGGATGTGATCTTAATTTGATCTCCCGGTCTGATCTAATTCTTGACTCCTCGACGCAGAGGCTTCAAAGGGCTTTTGTGGACTTCTCAACTTCAACGACGCAGAGGCTTCAAGAGGATCTTAAGCACTTCCCAACTTCAACACCTTAGCTCTAAGAGCGCTCCTTAACCTAGAGACATCTCTCCAACTGTTAGTTCTCGACGTCAGGGATTTGTCCTGGCTTCTGGAGCTCTCGACGCGTACGACAAAGCGGTATCATTCGGGTCCCTCTACCCGACAAGTACAGGCCGCCTCCGATTCCACTATACGACGGAAGGAGTGATCCAAATGATCATTTGGAGGTCTACACCGGACACATGGTTCTCCATGGATATCCTGAGGAGATCATGTGCCGAGCATTCAGGAATCATCTCTCTGATTTTGCTAGGAGATGGTTCAGATCCTTGAAGCCCAACTCTGTAACGAGTTGGGACGATTTGAAAAATGCTTTCTTGACTCAGTTCATAGGAGTAAAGAAGTATATCCCACCGAAGCAGAACCTTTCAACGGTCTACCAAGGGCCAGACGAGTCTCTCAAGGATTGGATCGCGAGATTCAGAGAGCAAGTAGCTGCCACAGAAGGAATCACATATGAGGTAGCATTAATGGGAGCCTTGGCCAGCATGAGGAAGGATATCCCATACAGTGCAGACCTCGACTGAAGGCCACCACAGACATATAGGGAGTTCTTGGCGAGAGCTCAAGGATTTATCAATGAAGAAGAAGCTGAGGCCAATGAGTGCGTCCACAAGTGGACGTAGGCAAGGAGTTTTCTGTCGAACCACTATAAATTTGTGTTCTTTGTTTTTTTGTGATTATTTTCTTGATTAATTCGTGATAGTAGATACGCGAGTGTTCTTAAAAAGGTAAAATTTTGAATTGACTAATTTTCACCGTCAGCATGTTCTTTACAAGGGTCACAGACATCATGAAACATGTACAACGACAAGACATTAAGACAACATGTCGTTGTTTTAAAGATACAACTTGTCGTTTTTGGGAAACAACGTGTCGTTTTTTTAAGGATACAACATGTCGTGTTTTTCTTATCGGACCAAAATATTCAAGTCATCATGTCGTTTTCCTCGTAAGCAGAGAAAGAGCATGTGAGCGATATGTATATATCTATGGCTGAATTATGTCATTTTACTGCTATATATGACGATGTTCTGCTTTACTTGAACGAAACGTGAAAGTTGGAAAAACAAGTCGTTTCTTTATAGAAGAAAAACGTTATTCCGAATTTCCGTCGTATAAATTAAAAAAACTTGAAATACAATGGGATGCTTTGTCATCACAGCCGACTAGTGGACAGAAAAGGGCTATGATATTTGTCCTCAATGTACCTTATTTATGATATTTGCTCAGTTGGCGGGACACAGCATATAGCTGTAGATTAATTGGTCAATGTCATCTTAAAAAGAAAAAGGAAACGGACAAGAATAACTCAACAAAAACTTGGAAAGCTAAGAAGAAAAGTGAGAATAATTGGTAATTAATTCCAAGCCATAGTTGAAAAGGCAGCAATAGGACTCTATATCATAGCCTATAATAATGAATGACCTCTACTTTTAATATTTATATTTTAGACTTGAATAATATTTATATAAGGACCCATGAATGCTTTGCGAACAGCCACCCTAAATTTCACGTAATGAAGAAAATGAGAGGTTAAGAAGGCACCAAATTACTTGGTCCATGTGATGCAACTGATGTTGATACTATGAACCCACCGCTATCAAATGGACTTGTTCAAGAAAAAGAAATAGAAGACTTTTTTCCAACTTTCTTTTTTATCAACAAAAGACAGAACAAGCCAATTAGTAATCCAAAGACTCTCCTTAACCTTCCTGAGCTTGCTCAATTCTGAAGTTTCTGCTTCGGCAAAGCCTAGTTAAGAGCCATCTAACAGACAAAGGGGGTCTTTGTTTCCCATATTGGTATGAGAAAAACTCAAACACATACATATTTTTCATTATAAAAAAATCTTCAACATGTATCTTTTTTCCATATATATCATTTTTGTTTTTGTTTTTTTTGGTTTCTTTAGGAGTTGCATGGATTTTGACACAGGATTTTGTGTGTGTTTGTGTTTGCAGACAAGCTGTGAATGAGCTTAATTTCGTTTCAGAACAAGGTTGGAATTTTGCTGATCAAGATAAATCTTCCTTTTTGTTGACAGAAGATAGAGAGCACAACTGAGCATATACCCAGGGAATTGTTCGTGTATGAGCAGTTTTGTGCTCTTTATTCTTCTGCCAACACAATCTTCTGCCACTCTATACTAGTACGTTTCTTCGGATCAAGGTAAGACAAAAAAAAAAAAAGAAAAAGAGAAAAAAAAAGACATTTCAGACTTGTTCATGAGCATATAAATACGTATAGTTGGTAATTAAAATGGTAAATCACAAATCATCTTTTATGTACTCCGATACTTAGTGAGGTCAATCATGGTTGAACATTTCATTATAAGGTAGTTGAAGCTGGCTTTGACACTACAAACAAAGCTTTAATTGCATATATATATATATATACACACACACACACACATATATAAAAGACATTTCAAACTTGTTCATGAGCATATAAATACATATAGTTGGTAATTAAAATGGTAAATCACAAATCATCTTTTATGTACTCCGATACTTAGTAAGGTCAATCATGGTTGAACATTTCATAAGGTAGTTGACGCTGGCTTTGACAATACAAACAAAGCTTTAATTGCATATATATATATATATATATATATATATATTGTGTTGTCTTCTGCTATTTACAAATATTTCTTCTTCTAGTCGTGTGTGATTTCAGAATATAACTACTGCTTGGGGAAGATCCGATCGAATTTTAAATGACTCATCAGTTGCAAATTTGTTTTCAACCTTACAAATTATTAAGGATTAATGACTTCTCATTTCCAACTTTCTACTATGTTATAAATAATAATAACTTGTTTTGCCTAGGTGAATTTTGTACAACTCAATTTCTAATACATATTAGCTCAGAAACTTTCATTTGATACAAAAGCATATAGTTACAAGCAAAAAGAATAAAACGGAACAAAAATAGTAGTGTACTAATTATGCTTTTGAATTTCTGTCTAGAGGTCACATTACTTGTGTGCCTATAGGAGAACTTTTTAGCTTAGACTTCTATGATTATATTGGAGAATTAGGTAATAGAGTATGATCAAATAATACCTTATCGTTAGAACACAATTCTGAACCGTCATATACCTCCATCATATTGTTAAAATTGGCATACTTTCGTTAATCTATTGATATATTTCTAGTGGGATCTAACGGTTCTTATAACTCCTACCTATAAGGGGGGGTTTTTTTTTTTTCCATATTCTATCATAAAATTCTTCTAATATAGAAGCTCATAACTTTGCAGTTGCACTTTCATTTGATACAGAAGCACATATATATATATATATATATATATATGTATATATAGTTCTATCTGTACTTTCAAATTGTTGTGCCCAGAAAGTCAAGAATATTTTGAAAGTAAATGAAAGAGATAATTCATATGAACGTTGAGAATCTTCATGACCAACTAGTATGCAGTCACATGTATGTATGTACGTATGTATATATGCTATTCTTTTCGTTTCTTTCTGTGATATTCCATTAGGGTTTTAAGAATGAGATACAACCAAAATGCAACAGAGTCATACTTTTGATATGCAAACGACAATTCTGATCTGGTTCTGTAGGTTCTGCGAAAAGACGGCATTTTTCTTTCTCCAAGCATGTTGACGATGATGGTCTCGAAACTAATTATCTTTGATCCTAAGATTCCAAATGGTAAAAGAAACAGAGAAAACCATTTTCTTAGAAAAAAAAAAATGGTTAATCACTAATAGTGTGAAAAAAGTTGTATATAGATGACACCAAAAGATATGAAAGTGATTTGGTAGCGGTTAAAATATTCCATCACAGGCCTTAATAGCCACTCATGCACAACGTGGGAGAAGTGCTACTGTGTCCTTTCTCTCGTAATACCAAATTATAGAACATCTGGTACTATTCGAATAGTAGTACAAACAAAAGAACGACCTAAGATTCAATGAATGTGATTATGTCCTATTGCCTATCGTTTAATACGATCTTTATTATGAAACATCTTTCGCTTGGATTTTTCTTATGAATTTATAAACCAAGAATCATGATTCTTCCCATTTCTCTATTTTTATTAATGCCCTTTCCAACACGAAGCAAGACACCCAAATTCTTGGGATTGTGGTGTGGGACGTATCAGAACTCTGTACACCTAAGTACCGGATTATTAAAAATTTTATTATGAATAAATGTGTCCGAATTCTATACATTCTGCAAAACTAAAACGACTGTTTTGCTATAATTTGTTAGCCCGAACAAGTTATGTTTTAATTCTATAAGTACTACAAAAACGTGTTTCATTATGCGTACTTTAAGGATAATGCGGAAAAAATGCTTAATTAATTTGTTAACTAAGATAGGTTTTGTGACACAATATATAAGTGGTGTCACAATTTCTCCTCCACCTCAATTTATTGTTTGTGAAATGGGACACCCTCCAAGTTAGAGATATAGTAACTGTACTAGCTAATCAAATGCATGCCATCAGTTTGTGCATAAATTACAACTTGAATTCTCATAACTGGCTACCAGCAAATGAAGCTGCAGAGGTCTAAAGGTGTGCTGCGACGGTACATTTCATTGACAGACTATCCTCTCAGGATCAAGATCTCTCCAAAAACTATGGCTCCACATCAAGTAAATAGAGTTTTGAATTCAAAATGAGAAATCGAAATCACAGTCGCGATGCGGTTAGTTTACCGATAGGAGAAGCAAGCAACGGCTCTGACTTGGTTTATGAAGATCATCAGAAGTATGCAAATACCTTAGAAGTTCAGCTTCTTCATTTCTCTGATCCGATCACTTTGTTCTTATTTGGTTCCTAGATTTTCGGCTGATTCGACATCCATTGCTTAGCATTGTACAAGTGTGTCAACCTTCCCTATTCCCATTGTAAACTGAACAGGAAAAGGAAAGACTTTTTGTACACTAAAAAGCCGTGTACTCTTATTTGCAGTAAATAGTATGTCCAATTCTCTACACTCATCAACTTATCTTCACGAATCTCCCCTGCAATTGCGGAATAAAAAAAGAAAGAAAGAAAGAAAGAAAGGGAGGAAAGTTAACTATCACTGATGGGAAATCTTTCTATGAAGACAAAGAAAAATGCAAATTGTGTAATGTTGTTTGCCATCAAAAGAACAAGAGTTTTCATATGAAAGGAGTATTGTTTCCCTGGCATTGACTCGAGCCTAATAGGATAAATGGTGCCGGTGGCTTGAAAATGAGACAAAAGACAAGCTTCATAATCAATGACCACACCTAATGAAAACGAAATCTCAATTATTTTATGACTTAAAGGGTAAGCAAACCTATTATTAATTACGGAAAATGGTAATCCCCTTGACCACAAGAAAATAAAGTAAGAGCGCTCTATTAATCCAAGCTATGGATAACAAAAGGAAATATTCAGTTCTCTTTTGAGACATGATCAGCCAAGATGAAGTTAGTTACCTTCATACGAGGGCGCTTCTCGGCGTTGAGCTTTCGGACTTCATATCGAATCCGCTTAGCGAAAAGCCTGCTTCGCCTTTTCTCCTTGTATCTCAACACACTCGCCTCTCTTTGCCCCATTTTCCAACCATCTTTGCCTTCCATTTCCTCCTTTATTTTCAGGCCACTACCACTGCCTGGCCTTTCTGGAACCTTCCATAAATTCCCAGCATTTCTCCAACCTTCCATTAGCCCCTGCAAAAACAAAAGTAACTAACATTTGTTTCCACTAGAAAGAATTCCCACATGAACTCATGTAATTATTTTAAGAAACTGATTTGAATTATCCTAAATTTTATTCAAATTGGTAGCAAACAGAAATCAAAGGCCTGCAAAAGTTATGATACATATTTTGCAAATCAGCAGAGCAGAAACAGGACACAAACAATAAATAAACTAAAATAAGACAAACACATTTAAAACAACAAAAAGTGGACTAGAAATTAGTTACCGGAAAAAGAAAAGCCTAACTCATGTGGGTGATCATATCTTAAAAAAATAATATTTCTTTCCCCTCTTTACAATAAACATTTAATGTTATGCTAGATGGTATTTCTAAACATTATTTTAATAATATCTTTTGATAGACAGACTAGATAATACCTAGAGATTTTGAAGAATATCCCAAGTCCAACAATTAAATTTTCAACAAAATAATTGCTGGGAAAGGTGGGCCACAAGCACAGCTGGCTGAGGTCCACCACTGGGACCTCCAAAAAGTAAAAAAGGCGATAAGGCCTCAGATTCCAGTGAGCCATAATCGAAAATAATTGGATTGCAGAAATAATAACAAAACAAAATAAAACAAAAATGATCAGAATCCAAGTTGTTCCACTTCTAATGATTACTCCTCAAACCAAAAGCAATTAAAAAATAATTAAAGAGATTCACTTATCATGCATGTTTTCTAAGGTATTTAATTAATATAATTCCGTGACAGGATATGAAAAAATTACCCAACAGAAAAACAAGTAAAACACAATTTTTACATATTTTCATTATATTCCATTAGATGGTCATATTTCAAATAATCGAATATTATATGATAATCTGACAGTTCAAATTTGTGTCCTGTTAGTAACTAGTAAATATTCTAACAGAGAATTATTCAATTAATTAATCGAGTGATGACCATCATGATGAAATATTATTAAGGGATTCACTTTATCATGCAAGTTTTATGAATTAATCAAGATCGCGATGGAGTAATGATAATCTTACATTGGCGGTATTATAATCAGAGGCAAAGAAATGATCATGATGATCATGCAAGTCAGGTACGGTCTGTGGGGATTGACGATCAGATCCTTGGATGTAAAGCGAGCCTTTATCAGACCAAGCGTTCAGAATCCCTTGGTAATCCAGCTTCAACGACAAATTGCCCTTATTCATCGCCGTCGTTTCGCTCGAGCTCGTCACCTCCTCCGCCTCAACCACCTCCTTCTTCTCCACAACCTCGGAGTAACAAACCCACTTCTCCTCGCTCAAATCCCTCTCTCTGTTCCTCATCGCCGTCTTCACCAGCGTCTCCGCCTCAACACGACCACCGCCGCCGCACTTGTACGACAACAACTCCTCTTCCTCGTACGCGTACGACAACGAATCCTCCTCCGACGACATTGTATTATTCGTCGTCGTCGTTGTCGTATGGAGAAGGGTGCTCAGCGAGGCGGCTCCTCCGCCGCCACCGCCGCCGTCGGAGTGGAAGAGCAGGGCGGCGTCCTCGTCGGCTCTGTCGTCGCAAACGAGATTCTCCGGGTGGAGAGGGAACAGGTTCAGCTGGTGATGGTGGCGGGTCATTTCGGTAATTTCAGACGTTGGTTTTGGTGTAGTTTGGGGTTTGATCTCTTTGGAGAGGCTTAAGAACTTGGGCTTTCTGGTTTTGGTTCTTGACTTACGAGCGGGTTTGAGTTGATTATGATGACGACGCCGACGGTGGTGGTGATGATGATGATGATGATCAGGCGATCTTAGTGTGTTCTTGTTGCACATGATCTTTATTTAGTAGTTTTGTTTTTTCTTCTTCTTCTTTTGTGATCTCTCTATACTATTAGTATTAGGCTTTTTCTCATGTGATTGTTCTCTCTTTCTACTTTGAACAGAGAAAAAGTGAAGAGGAAAAAAGAAAAAAGTGTCTTTGTGGGGAAGAGTAGTAGACAGAGGACTTGACCCACTGCCCACTGTGAAAGCAAAACTGTGTTTAGTCATCACTCTCTCTCTCTCTCTTACACAGAGTAGAGGATGATGGTTACGTGTATCCTCTGTCGACACGTGGCGGGTTACGATTGGGTGGAGCAGTGGATTGTGTTGTTATCCGGATTTCGTTGGATTGGGTGTGTGAATTTTTGCGCTTTACAGTAAGCTAATATATTAGCTCTTCATGTATAGGTGGGGCAGTGCGCCATTCTTTGCAACCGGACCTTAGATTTTTTGTTTTTGTTTTTGTTTTTGTTTTTGTTTTTTAAAGAAAAGCGCTCTTGGGTTTAATGTTTCCACGTGAAAATTATGACGGTTTACCTATTTCTTACTAACTTCTACTACTACACAAAAGCTTTCAATATTGCTTTTTACTCACGTGTGACACAGTGACAGTTATCGGAAAAGTTTTGAAAAAAAAAAAAGCTAGCCACTTGTAGTTTCAGGATCCGTTTATTTTACTAATTTGAGTTTTATTACAGTAAAAAATTTTAAAAAATAGTCATATTTAACTTTTTTAGTACAATTAAAAAATTTTCACATAAAATTACATCTCAACTCGAATTAAAAACTCAAATCAGCAAATTAAACAGGACTTCAGTTTTAAAAAAGAATGTACTTTGTAAAATGGATAGAAAATTTTATGATGACGTAAAAAAAATCTTATTAAAATTACAAATTAAAAGAAATTTTTATGAGATGAATCACTTTAAATTATTAAAAGTTATCTTTTTTTCTTATATAAGAATTTTTAAATACTAAATATAAATAAAGATATTTTTTGATACGCCGACGTAACAGTAGATTCTAATAGTCAAATGTCCGTATTTTTATTTTTATTTTTATGTGTTTTATACAAAAAACCTTATGTAAATATCTTTCATATCCTTAGAGAGAATTTTGTGCATGAGGGAGATGGGGATGGGATTTGGATGCGTTTGGTTTGGCAGAAATGGATTAGATCAGATGGAGGAGGGAGAATGGGAGCGTGGAAATGGTGAGTGGGAGATGGAGGGAACTGGTGATTGGTTGGGACAAAGGACTCTGACTTGCACACAGAGAAAATTGCAGAAATAAACGTGTCCCACGGGGGAGAACTTTCTTAACGCTTTTTTTGGCGCTTTTAACCTTTTCTGCTGACGTGGCTTTGTCCAATGCACACGACGCACGCTTTGTTTGAAGAAACCAGAAAGCGTCCAAAATCATCCTCAATTTTCAATTTATTATCTCCTCTTATTATTCCCGTCATGCTTTTTCATTTTCAGTGTTTTTTTTATTCCGTGAATTGTCGAACGCTAAATTTAAAAAAAAAAAAAGAAAAAGAAAACACAAAGGGGGCATTCCGAGAATTGAACTCGGGACCTCTCGCACCCTAAGCGAGAATCATACCACTAGACCAAATGCCCTCTGATGGTGGTCTGCTGTACAGTATAGTATATCACATGAATCATATTTTTCACCTTTTAAGAGACCTTCAGATTTTGAAAGGGTTGCCTTTTGGGGGTCCGTTAGATAATTTATGGTTGGGACCGATGAATTAATAAGGTTTTGATTGATTGGACTTGGAGAGTAGGGAGTGTCGGTGGATTGTCCTTCTTTGTTGTGGTGGTGGGGTCATTAGTTCATGTGTCTCATGTTATGTGAGTAAACCTGGAAACATCAATGATACGTGTAACTTTGATCTCATTTTTTTGAAATTTTCCAAATTGCAATAACACGACCGGGGTTGTTCGTTCTGCTGAGTACCGACACTAATCAATGATAACAAATATTGTCACCACATTTACTGAAACCTTTTACATTTCTGAGTTTTTCTCATCTTATAATGTCTTCATCTACAAATTTACTTGAGAGAGTCGCAAAGAGTAGTGTGCAATCTTCATTTCCGCCTGCAGTACTAAAAGTATAAATAACATAATTTAACTGGGGAACATGGACTGACCCCCTAAGGTGTAAGGACACTAATGTCACATGCCCAAAACGAGTGAAATCGAATCGCGTAAGCATGCAATAGGTTTTGGTCGTGTTTAGAGTTAGTTTTGTTTTTCACGTTTTTTTAAAATAAAAAAATAAAAACGAGAGATAAACAGCATTTGACACAATTAAAGATAAAAAATATAAATAAAAACGATTTTTTAGAGACATTAATAAATTTTTTTATACTGATAACAATCTCTTGATAAAACTACCAAATACATTTTTAAAAATGATTTCTGTGTAAAATTAAAAACATTTTCATACAAAAAATAAACCATTTTAAAACGAGTTTTAAACGTACAATTTATCTTTCTTTATTTATTTTAAGAGATCGTCTAGAAAAATTAAAGTCGAGTTGTTTTTTTTTTAAATGGAAAAAAAAAATAAAAAGACCTGTGTCTCATCGAAAGCAAATAATGAACATTGAACACGTAGTCTTAAAATAGCCTTAAAACGCCTCTTATAAGTCTTAGACATTAATCCTCTCATTTATCAAATCACTTGGGAATAAGCTCAAGTATTTTATCTGGCTACACCTTGGTGGTAAATAATGCAAGTTGTTAGCCAACGATGAAACGGTGGAAAATGATATATAGTAAACATTTTAAGTGCGTATTTAGAGCTCGTTCTAAAATAATTTTAATTTTTGTATAAAAATAAAAATGAAAATGTTTTAAATTTCAGACATAAATCATTTTTAAAAATGCATTTGGTAGTTTTATCAAGAGATTATTTTCAATGTAAAAAAACCCAATAATGTCTATCTTTCTCTCTATCTGCTAGAGAGAGAGGAGAAAATGAAAAACGACTAAAAGTCGTTTTTCATTTCTTTTTCATTTTACATTAAATCAAAAAATCGTTTTCATTTATGTTTTTTGTCTTTATTGCGCCAAACGCCGTTTTGAAAACATTTTTATTTTTTCTTTCTCAAAAAATGTAAAAAATAAAAATGTGATCAATTTTAAATACAGCCTTAATTTGGGTTATTCCGATTCCGATAGTGAACTTTTCAGCGTAGGGGTGAGATTGAAGAATAGCATTTTTGTAGGGTTGGTACCGAGTAAACCACTTTGTCAAAAAAAAAAAAAAAAGGAAAATGCTTTTCTTCGACGGTCGGAAAATAAAATTTTAATAGAACAAGAACAGTTACAGAGATATCTACCAAGGATTTTCATTGCAGGTAGATTTTTGTGTGGAGATTTTTTTTCCCTTCTTTTTTTAAACAATTGGTTTACTTGAAAGTAGACATGAGGTTTACTCTAATTCTTTGATCTGAGTTGTTTGTGTGGATTTTGTTTATTTTTTAAACTATTAGTTTACCCAAAAGTAGACCGATGGTTCACTTTATTTAGCGTTTGTATTAGAGAAAAATATCTTTCTTCATCCTCCTTTAAAGTACTGGTTTATTAAAAAATGGATCAGTGCTCAGTTTTTTGATATGAACCAAATGTAATATGGACTCTCTAACTCTTAAAAGTGATATAAACCTCCGCTCAAAGTAGTATATGCGACCTAATTTTCTCCAAGTTCATAGGTAGAGGAGTCTGATCCAACAAATAGAAGTATTACTATGGGCTCACCAAGTCCAAATGTTCCGATCTCGTTAGATCTTTGTCATCAGCAAGTCAGGCCTGGCCTGCTTTGCATGAAATTATTTGATGAGATAAATATCCTCTAGAAGTCTGAATTGCTTTTCATTAATATCTTTTTAATTAAATAATTATAATAGTCAGGGGTATTAATCAAGTAAAAATTAAAACTCATAGAATCTAAGGTCTTGTTCAGTTCATCGATTTAAGTTAATATGTGACTTTATGTGAGAGTTTTTAACTGTAGCAGAAAAAAAATTAAATGTGAATTTTTATGAGAGCTTTTAACTATAGTAAAATTATGATTAAAAACTTAATTCGGTAAAATAAACAAGATAAAGCGTAAGTTTAGCAATTTTTTCGTTTATATATTTTACCATTTACTTTTAGTAAATAAGACGGCAAGGCGTTCCCGCCAGTCAATCTCAGACAAGATTGATTTAAGTTTAAAAAGTAGTGATTCAAAGTTATGGGTCCAATTGGAAAACGAATTTGGTCTAAAATTACCAACCGCGAATAAACAAATTGGACACGTATTTATTCCGTTGATTTGGTAAATATACTTCTTGGTATATATACTGGTGGATCGGTTAAATGTGATTGCCACTTTGACACTTGACAGTCATAAAGCTGGGGTAAGTAGAAAGATTTAGGGGCATCCAAGAGAAAGGACTTTGAAAACAGAGATTAAATTAATTTAATTCATTAATAATTTGTGGTGCATGACATATGTTTGAAGGAAATTTAGGATATTTGTTATGTTTAGAACAATGCCAGCTCTCTGGTAAGCCTTACACATTGATCACATCTTCTTCCATATACCAAACTTAATGATCGTGATCTAATTAATATGCTCAATTTATCGTACGTGACACATATAACTTATAACAAAGAAGCTCAATACGCAAACGACAGCTTATGAATACTTGAGAACTAACACTATTCATGCATTATTGCGTCTCTAAGCATTAGACTCAAATTACTTGTCTAATTTTGATGTTCTAAATGATATCTAATCAATTACATTATGCAACTTCATTTAAATAATTTTAAAATGCTTCTTCCATGTTTTAATGTTTGAGTTCATTAATTAACGTGATATAATATGATTGATTAGATACTATTTGAGACACTAAAAATTAAATACGTAATAAAATGATCAATTTTTGTTAGGATAAAATGAACAAAGGAAAAGAGGGAGAGAAGGAGAAGACGTCAACATATATGGCTAAATCTTAAAAAGAGAGGAATTATCAAAAAAAAAAAAAAAAAAATCTTAAAAAGAGAGGTACATAATCAGTCATGACTCATGACCAAGAGGATGTTTTTTTTTCTGTATTCGTCTCTGATTCTGAATTATGATTTATAGTTCTCTATAATATTTTTCTCTCACAAAAAATACACATAAAATGAGAATAGTTTTGAATCATGGTTCTGAATCCATGAACCAAACGTCCACTTAGAATGCGTTTGGTTCAAGGATTCGTGTCATGGTTCGAATCATGATTCGTGACTCATTACAGTATTTTCTCTCACAAAAAATACACGTAAATCGAGAATAGTTCTGAATCCATGAACCAAACGTTAATGTCTCTATAGAGCTTTTACATACATTTTTTACTCTCATAAAAATTTAATTTTTGCTCAAAGTTTCTGTTTATACCTACAAAAGTTTCTTCGAGAGAATTAGAGGAATACCACTTATAGAGAGTGAGTACAAGAATATACTGTTGGTGGGGAAATTTTTAAATCTAATTCATCATAAAGTCACACGGGTGAATAACTGAAACTTAAAAGTGGTACTCACCCCTATTGAAATATTCTACGCTCTCACTGAGGTATGAACTCAGGTCTTGAAAAAGTTCAAGAAAAGCAGTTATTGTTTGACTACCAATAGTTGTGCGCAATAAAATTGTGGTATTTTTAATGGAGTTACTGCCAAATTCCCGGCATTAAATGAGAGGGTACTTGCAAGATCATTGGTCACAAAACGGTGAATATTTTTCAAGTCAAATATTGTTCCGCAGTCAGTGGGGAAATCATGATGTTATGATAGGTTCAAAATGTAGTTCGATAAAGGCTGAGGACCTTGCGGTTATGTTTCGTTTATCATGCAGAACTAACACTTTTTGCCAACAGCCACAGTTGTTGAAGATTATTGACAAATTGGTGAAAAACACGTTCTATAATTATCTTTAACTATATAGTATTCTCCATTCTGCTACTAATTTGGATTATTAAACTTTTCATAAAATTTAGTCAATTTTATAAGGGATATTTACATTTTTATATCCCGTGTTTTGAGTTTATTCAAAATCTATACCTTTAATTTTTTATCTCATCAAATGTATACATTCAAACTAAATTTAATATACAAATGTATCTATTATCTCGGTCAATAATTTATTTTGACATTTAAAATGACTAAACTATCCTAAGAAAAATAGAGAAAATAAAACTAAAACTTTTCAATATTACAAAAATTAAAAATAAAAAACACAAAAAAAACTCCATTTCAATGGTATTTTGAATAATTTTAAAGTTAAAACCGTAAGTTTAAAGTTTTTTTTTAGTTTTTTTTCTTTTTCTATTTTTATTTAAGGGTACTTTATGCTTAAAATTGAGAGTTGATTGTGAAAATGTATAAATTTTGATATTAAACGTAATTTGAAAGCATACATTTGAAGATATCAAAAATTAAAAGTTTAGTTTTTAAATAAACCCAAAACACAAGATATAAAATTGTAAATATCCCATTCTATAATTATCTTTAACTATATATTTTGATGTTTTCACTGAATTTAATTATATTTTGACATGATTTTATGTTCACATTGTTTTTTCCCTATGGTGAGAACAAATTAAACGTGTATTATGTATTATCATATTATGACCTTAATATATATGCACATATATATATATATATTCCTTTTTCAGTCGTGTTGGACCTAACCTATATATGAATTTCTTTTCTCAGCATGAAAAAAGTCAAAAGAAGCCATCATTGGCGGGTAGGAAGTAAGAAAATGTGTTCCAACAGAGGGAACTACTAAAGTCCAAAAGTTTTGAGAAGATTGGTTTGTCTGATGGTCAGCTACTGGTTGTACCTAATAAAGGTACTTAATGACATTTATTTTTTTTAGCATTTTTTACCGTGAGTTTCTAAAAAAAAAAATCTCTAGCGATGGAACTCTTATTTTTAATCATTAGTTTAATTTTTTTACGATGAGATTTGCAATAAGAGTTAGCACACTGTAAATTTTTAATACAAATTTTTATAAATTTAATTGTTAAAAAATTAATCAATGATTAAAAGTAATGGTTGCACTGGTAGGGTTTTTTTTTGAGAATTTTCACTGTAGAAATTGCCTTATTCTTTTTCTTTTTTTTTTTAATAATGACTTGAAATGTAATTATAATTACTCAACAATATATTCGGTTTTTCCTTTCCGTTTTTTTTACCTTACCTTATGTTTGTGTAGGCTGGAATCCACAAGGAGAATCTTTTGCAGGATAAAAACCAACGACCCTCTGAACACTTTCTCTTCAAGCCAACGGAAAAGATGAAAAGAGGATCTAAAATAAACTTCAATGCATGCATAAATAAACCATGTTTTTTATTATTTTTCTTTTTAACTTGGAAAATTACAAAAGCCAAAAGATATAAAGAATCAAACCATTAAAATTACAATAATTAAAACATATCTTCTATTTTGTTCTGAATTAAACCAGAGTCTTCAATTGTTCATGAGTATGTGAATTATGATTAGCCTTTAGTTTATTAGTTCATTCCCGGCCTTACGTGAATATATAGATATATTAACATATATTAATACTCCATTAAGCTCTCTAAAACCTCTTGAACTCGGATAATTTGGCCCAACAAATGAAATACAATTTGTTTTTTTTTTTTGGTTTTCAATATTATAAAGATGAAACAATTATTTATGCCTTTATTAAATTTGATTAAAAAAAGTAGTTTCGATCTCCGGTGGCGAAGAGCTAAAGTCAACCGATTTGACTTAGGAGACTTTAATTTCTTTGGGTGGCCGAACTTGATTAACGGTCTTAAACTACCAAAATCAGATTATGCTATGCATACTGCATAGAAATAGCCCAAGAGCCAATGGATGAATTAAAACCTGAAATCACGATTAGGCTTATATATGGGCCCCACCTGCTTAAATGAATCACGCCATCACTTTCGGCTTTATCCATCTATAAATTAACGGCCAGTACTGGCCGTAGTCCTCACTCACAGTCTCTTTCTCTCATCTCTCAATCAATTCCCTCCACTTTTCTATCAAGAAGAGTGGAAGAGAAGTAGAAAAGAGAAAAATATAAAATATAAAAGAAAATGGCCTTGCAATATTCAATTTTGCTTCTTTTTCTAACGTCTTTTCTAGCTGCGTGTTCCATTTCCTCTGCTTCAGTTCAAGATCCTGAACTAGTTGTGCATGAAGTACACAGGTAAAACATCTCTCTTTTTCTCTCTCTCTCTCTCTTTTTTTATGAGCAATGCCATATCGTGGATTAACATATGTATTACTTCTCACAAATATACATGTGAAATAGTCGATTTTATAATTTGTATCATATATAATATGATGTTGAATAATTTTTTCACATTGTATTGTACTATATAGATAGATAGGTTGCTAAATATAAAATAATAGTGTATATATATATATAATGGAAAGCCTAATGAATACATTCTAACTAGATTGACACCTCTAAACAACACATGATATATATAGACATACACTACTACTATTTTGACAAATGTGGGGGTGAAAAATAAATTAAATTAATTCATTCATGCTATGTGTTTCACCTTTTTATAGGAGTATCAATGCCTCTAGGAGGAACTTGGGGTATTTCACATGCGGGACAGGAAACCCAATCGACGATTGCTGGAGGTGCGACCCCAACTGGGAGAGGAACCGCCAGCGGCTAGCTGATTGCGCAATCGGGTTCGGCAAGGACGCGATCGGGGGCAAAAACGGGAGAATCTATGTTGTTAGCGACTCGGGCGACGATGACCCAGTAAACCCTAGACCCGGAACCCTAAGACACGCGGTGATACAAAACGAACCGCTATGGATCATATTCAAAAGAGACATGGTGATCCAGCTTAAGGAAGAGCTGGTCATGAACTCGTTCAAGACCATCGACGGCCGAGGCGCCAGCGTCCACGTCTCCGGAGGCGCGTGCATTACGATACACTACGCCTCAAACATCATCATTCATGGAATCCATATCCATGACTGTAAGCCAGGACCGAGTGCTATTATAAGAGACTCTCCCAACCACGCCGGGCATTGGACGCAGTCGGACGGCGACGGGGTTTCGATATTCGCGAGCCGACACATTTGGGTTGACCACTGTTCGCTGTCGAATTGCCAGGATGGCCTGATTGATGCCATCCATGGTTCGACGGCCATCACCATCTCCAACAACTACTTCACACACCATGACAAGGTTATGCTGTTGGGCCATAGTGACGAGTATACGCAGGACAAGGACATGCAGGCCACCATTGCCTTTAATCATTTTGGAGAAGGTTTGGTCCAGAGAATGCCAAGGTACATATAAGTTTTTTCAAAATTAATCGAGATTCCTATAATAAATGATGAGTTCATGTCTGTCACGTTGTTTGCTAATGAAATGATGAAGAGTGGAACACATTTGATAATTTTCCTTCTTGGTTTCAAATTAAATTGCGCATCGTACGGCTTACTTTTTTGCTTATGTATTAGGGGGAAAAAAAGTGGAAAATTTGATTCCAAAATGAGGACACCGTTCAAGCTATATAAAATAGTGATTTTGTCACATTCTTCAAATTTAAGGAGAAATGCATTGCGTGATTGATGTCCCACAGTCACCACTAGTGACTTTTGACTTCTATTCATCGTTTAAATTATATTCACATGTAAAATTTTAAAATTATTTGGATCGAGTTTCATATGACAGTTTAACTGACAATAGAAAAAAGTGGACTTTTTTTTATTATTTTTTTTATGCATGGGGCATGTGTGTTTTGCAACTCGTACGTGGCTCTGGGGCCAATCTGATTAATTATATTTAATTGAAAAATATTTATTATTCCACATATGCACTGTTCATAAAATAATAATAGAATGAGTGTTATATTGCAAGCTTTTATTCATTAATTTTTGTTAACTAAGATTAGGGAATTTGACTTCTACATCTTCAAGTGGAGTGATCAGGTTTAGATTTACTGTTATATAGGTTGTGATTTTGTCTAGTACTCGCAAGGTTTTATTTACTTGATACTTGATTATTTTGGTTAGATTATATATACACTACTTAATTAGCGATGTTCCATGTTGCAGGTGCAGACATGGTTATTTCCACGTCGTGAACAACGACTACACGCACTGGGAAATGTATGCCATCGGCGGGGGGGGCTCACCCCACAACAACAACCCAGGAAAACCGGT